AACCGACAGTCATATATTCATTCAAATTAGCAGTCATATTGTCACTCAAACTGTCAGTCTTATTCTCACCCAAACCGACAGTCATATATTCATTCAAATTAGCAGTCATATTGTCACTCAAACCGTGAGTCAAATTCTCACTAAAACCATCAGTCATTCACTCACTCAAATCAACAGTCATATTGTCACTCAAACTGTCAGTCTTATTCTCACCCAAACCGACAGTCATATATTCATTCAAATTAGCAGTCATATTGTCACCCAAACTGTCAGTCTTATTCTCACTAAAACCATCAGTCATACACTCTCTTAAACTATGAGTCATATTGTCACCCAAACTCTCAATCATACACTCACTCAAATCAACAGTCATATTGTCAGTCAAACCGTCAGTTATATTGTCACTCAAACTGTCAGTCATATTCTCACTAAAACCATCAGTCATTCACTCACTCAAATCAACAGTCATATTGTCACTCAAACTGTCAGTCTTATTCTCACCCAAACCGACAGTCATATATTCATTCAAATTAGCAGTCATATTGTCACTCAAACTGTCAGTCTTATTCTCACCCAAACCGACAGTCATATATTCATTCAAATTAGCAGTCATATTGTCACCCAAACTGTCAGTCTTATTCTCACTAAAACCATCAGTCATACACTCTCTTAAACTATGAGTCATATTGTCACCCAAACTCTCAGTCATATTCTAAATAAACCGTAAGTCATAGAGGCTGTCAAACCGTTAGTCATATTGTCAGTCAAACCGTCAGTCATATTGTCAGTCAAACTGTCAGTAATATTCTAATTAAAGCCGTCAGTCATATTGTCAGTCAAACTGTAAGTCATACACTCACTCAAATCAACAATCATATTGTCACCCAAACTATCAGTCTTATTCTCACTAAAACCGTCAGTCATCTTGTCAGTCAAATCGTCAGTCAAACCGTCAGTCATATTGTCACTCAAACCATGAGTCATATTCTCACTAAAACCATCAGTCATTCACTCACTCAAATCAACAGTCATATTGTCACTCAAACTGTCAGTCTTATTCTCACCCAAACCGACAGTCATATATTCATTCAAATTAGCAGTCATATTGTCACCCAAAACTGTCAGTCTTATTCTCACTAAAACCATCAGTCATACACTCTCTTAAACTATGAGTCATATTGTCACCCAAACTTTCAGTTATATTCTAAATAAAACCGTAAGTCATAGAGGCTGTCAAACTGTCAGTCATATTCTAACTAAAAGCTAATTCATAGTGTGTGTCAAACCGTCAGTTATATTGTCACTCAAATTGTCAGTCTTATTCTAACTAAAAAGCTAATTCATAGTGTGTGTCAAACCGAAGTCATATTGTCACCCAAACTGTCAGTCTTATTCTCACTAAAACATCAGTCATATTGTCAGTCAAACCGTCAGTTATATTGTCACTCAAACTGTCAGTCTTATTCTAACTAAAAAGCTAATTGATAGTGTCTGTCAAACCGAAGTCATATTGTCACTCAAACCGTGAGTCATATTCTCACTAAAACCATCAGTCATTCACTCACTCAAATCAACAGTCATATTGTCACTCAAACTGTCAGTCTTATTCTCACCCAAACCGACAGTCATATATTCATTCAATTAGCAGTCATATTGTCACCCAAACTGTCAGTCTTATTCTCACTAAAACCATCAGTCATACACTCTCTTAAACTATGAGTCATATTGTCACCCAAACTCTCAGTCATATTCTAAATAAAACCGTAAGTCATAGAGGCTGTCAAACTGTCAGTCATATTCTAACTAAAAGCTAATTCATAGTGTGTGTCAAACCGTCAGTTATATTGTCACTCAAATTGTCAGTCTTATTCTAACTAAAAAGCTAATTCATAGTGTGTGTCAAACCGAAGTCATATTGTCACCCAAACTGTCAGTCTTATTCTCACTAAAACCATCAGTCATATTGTCAGTCAAACCGTCAGTTATATTGTCACTCAACTGTCAGTCTTATTCTAACTAAAAAGCTAATTGATAGTGTCTGTCAAACCGAAGTCATATTGTCACTCAAACCGTGAGTCATATTCTCACTAAAACCATCAAGTCATTCACTCACTCAAATCAACAAGTCATATTGTCACTCAAACTGTCAGTCTTATTCTCACCCAAACCGACAGTCATATATTCATTCAAATTAGCAGTCATATTGTCACCCAAACTGTCAGTCTTATTCTCACTAAAACCATCAGTCATACACTCTCTTAAACTATGAGTCATATTGTCACCCAAACTCTCAGTCATATTCTAAATAAAACCGTAAGTCATAGAGGCTGTCAAACCATTAGTCATATTGTCAGTCAAACCGTCAGTCATATTGTCAGTCAAACTGTCAGTAATATTCTAATTAAAGCCGTCAGTCATATTGTCAGTCAAACTGTAAGTCATACACTCACTCAAATCAACAATCATATTGTCACCCAAACTATCAGTCTTATTCTCACTAAAACCGTCAGTCATCTTGTCAGTCAAATCGTCAGTCAAATCGTCAGTCAAACCGTCAGTCAAACCGTCAGTCATATTGTCACTCAAACCATGAGTCATATTCTCACTAAAACCATCAGTCATTCACTCACTCAAATCAACAGTCATATTGTCACTCAAACTGTCAGTCTTATTCTCACCCAAACCGACAGTCATATATTCATTCAAATTAGCAGTCATATTGTCACCCAAACTGTCAGTCTTATTCTCACTAAAACCATCAGTCATACACTCTCTTAAACTATGAGTCATATTGTCACCCAAACTTTCAGTTATATTCTAAATAAAACCGTAAGTCATAGAGGCTGTCAAACTGTCAGTCATATTCTAACTAAAAGCTAATTCATAGTGTGTGTCAAACCGTCAGTTATATTGTCACTCAAATTGTCAGTCTTATTCTAACTAAAAAGCTAATTCATAGTGTGTGTCAAACCGAAGTCATATTGTCACCCAAACTGTCAGTCTTATTCTCACTAAAACCATCAGTCATATTGTCAGTCAAACCGTCAGTTATATTGTCACTCAAACTGTCAGTCTTATTCTAACTAAAAAGCTAATTGATAGTGTCTGTCAAACCGAAGTCATATTGTCACTCAAACCGTGAGTCATATTCTCACTAAAACCATCAGTCATTCACTCACTCAAATCAACAGTCATATTGTCACTCAAACTGTCAGTCTTATTCTCACCCAAACCGACAGTCATATATTCATTCAAATTAGCAGTCATATTGTCACCCAAACTGTCAGTCTTATTCTCACTAAAACCATCAGTCATACACTCTCTTAAACTATGAGTCATATTGTCACCCAAACTCTCAATCATACACTCACTCAAATCAACAGTCATATTGTCAGTCAAACCGTCAGTTATATTGTCACTCAAACTGTCAGTCTTATTCTAACTAAAACCGTAAGTCAAAGTGTCTGTCAAACCGTCAGTCATATTCTCAGTCATACTGTAGTTCATACTATCACCCAAACTGTTGTTCATACTGTCACTCAAACTCTAAGTCATATTCTCACTAAAACCATCAGTCATTCACTCACTCAAATCAACAGTCATATTGTCACTCAAACTGTCAGTCTTATTCTCACCCAAACCGACAGTCATATATTCATTCAAATTAGCAGTCATATTGTCACTCAAACTGTCAGTCTTATTCTCACCCAAACCGACAGTCATATATTCATTCAAATTAGCAGTCATATTGTCACCCAAACTGTCAGTCTTATTCTCACTAAAACCATCAGTCATACACTCTCTTAAACTATGAGTCATATTGTCACCCAAACTCTCAGTCATATTCTAAATAAAACCGTAAGTCATAGAGGCTGTCAAACCGTTAGTCATATTGTCAGTCAAACCGTCAGTCATATTGTCAGTCAAACTGTCAGTAATATTCTAATTAAAGCCGTCAGTCATATTGTCAGTCAAACTGTAAGTCATACACTCACTCAAATCAACAATCATATTGTCACCCAAACTATCAGTCTTATTCTCACTAAAAACCGTCAGTCATCTTGTCAGTCAAATCGTCAGTCAAATCGTCAGTCAAACCGTCAGTCAAACCGTCAGTCATATTGTCACTCAAACCATGAGTCATATTCTCACTAAAACCATCAGTCATTCACTCACTCCTCAACAGTCATATTGTCACTCAAACTGTCAGTCTTATTCTCACCCAAACCGACAGTCATATATTCATTCAAATTAGCAGTCATATTGTCACCCAAACTGTCAGTCTTATTCTCACTAAAACCATCAGTCATACACTCTCTTAAACTATGAGTCATATTGTCACCCAAACTTTCAGTTATATTCTAATAAAACCGTAAGTCATAGAGGCTGTCAAACTGTCAGTCATATTCTAAACTAAAAGCTAATTCATAGTGTGTGTCAAACCGTCAGTCATATTGTCACTCAAACTGTCAGTCTTATTCTAACTAAAACATCATCATTATGTGTCAGTCAAACCGAAGTCATATTGTCACCAAACTGTCAGTCTTATTCTAACTAAAAGCATCAGTCATATTGTCTGTCAACCAGTATATTGTCACTCAAACTGTCAGTCTTATTCTAACTAAAAAGCTAATTGATAGTGTCTGTCAAACCGAAGTCATATTGTCACTCAAACCGTGAGTCATATTCTCACTAAAACCATCAGTCATTCACTCACTCAAATCAACAGTCATATTGTCACTCAAACTGTCAGTCTTATTCTCACCCAAACCGACAGTCATATATTCATTCAAATTAGCAGTCATATTGTCACCCAAACTGTCAGTCTTATTCTCACTAAAACCATCAGTCATACACTCTCTTAAACTATGAGTCATATTGTCACCCAAACTCTCAGTCATATTCTAAATAAAACCGTAAGTCATAGAGGCTGTCAAACCGTTAGTCATATTGTCAGTCAAACCGTCAGTCATATTGTCAGTCAAACTGTCAGTAATATTCTAATTAAAGCCGTCAGTCATATTGTCAGTCAAACTGTAAGTCATACACTCACTCAAATCAACAATCATATTGTCACCCAAACTATCAGTCTTATTCTCACTAAAACCGTCAGTCATCTTGTCAGTCAAATCGTCAGTCAAATCGTCAGTCAAACCGTCAGTCAAACCGTCAGTCATATTGTCACTCAAACCATGAGTCATATTCTCACTAAAACCATCAGTCATTCACTCACTCAAATCAACAGTCATATTGTCACTCAAACTGTCAGTCTTATTCTCACCCAAACCGACAGTCATATATTCATTCAAATTAGCAGTCATATTGTCACCCAAACTGTCAGTCTTATTCTCACTAAAACCATCAGTCATACACTCTCTTAAACTATGAGTCATATTGTCACCCAAACTTTCAGTTATATTCTAAATAAAACCGTAAGTCATAGAGGCTGTCAAACTGTCAGTCATATTCTAACTAAAAGCTAATTCATAGTGTGTGTCAAACCGTCAGTTATATTGTCACTCAAATTGTCAGTCTTATTCTAACTAAAAAGCTAATTCATAGTGTGTGTCAAACCGAAGTCATATTGTCACCCAAACTGTCAGTCTTATTCTCACTAAAACCATCAGTCATATTGTCAGTCAAACCGTCAGTTATATTGTCACTCAAACTGTCAGTCTTATTCTAACTAAAAAGCTAATTGATAGTGTCTGTCAAACCGAAGTCATATTGTCACTCAAAACCGTGAGTCATATTCTCACTAAAACCATCAGTCATTCACTCACTCAAATCAACAGTCATATTGTCACTCAAACTGTCAGTCTTATTCTCACCCAAACCGACAGTCATATATTCATTCAAATTAGCAGTCATATTGTCACCCAAACTGTCAGTCTTATTCTCACTAAAACCATCAGTCATACACTCTCTTAAACTATGAGTCATATTGTCACCCAAACTTTCAGTTATATTCTAAATAAAACCGTAAGTCATAGAGGCTGTCAAACTGTCAGTCATATTCTAACTAAAAGCTAATTCATAGTGTGTGTCAAACCGTCAGTTATATTGTCACTCAAATTGTCAGTCTTATTCTAACTAAAAAGCTAATTCATAGTGTGTGTCAAACCGAAGTCATATTGTCACCCAAACTGTCAGTCTTATTCTCACTAAAACCATCAGTCATATTGTCAGTCAAACCGTCAGTTATATTGTCACTCAAACTGTCAGTCTTATTCTAACTAAAAAGCTAATTGATAGTGTCTGTCAAACCGAAGTCATATTGTCACTCAAACCGTGAGTCATATTCTCACTAAAACCATCAGTCATTCACTCACTCAAATCAACAGTCATATTGTCACTCAAACTGTCAGTCTTATTCTCACCCAAACCGACAGTCATATTGTCACTCAAACCATGAGTCATATTCTCACTAAAACCATCAGTCATTCACTCACTCAAATCAACAGTCATATTGTCACTCAAACTGTCAGTCTTATTCTCACCCAAACCGACAGTCATATATTCATTCAAATTAGCAGTCATATTGTCACCCAAACTGTCAGTCTTATTCTCACTAAAACCATCAGTCATACACTCTCTTAAACTATGAGTCATATTGTCACCCAAACTTTCAGTTATATTCTAAATAAAACCGTAAGTCATAGAGGCTGTCAAACTGTCAGTCATATTCTAACTAAAAGCTAATTCATAGTGTGTGTCAAACCGTCAGTTATATTGTCACTCAAATTGTCAGTCTTATTCTAACTAAAAAGCTAATTCATAGTGTCTGTCAAACCGAAGTCATATTGTCACTCAAACTGTCAGTCTTATTCTCACTAAAACCATCAGTCATACACTCTCTTAAACTATGAGTCATATTGTCACCCAAACTCTCAATCATACACTCACTCAAATCAACAGTCATATTGTCAGTCAAACCGTCAGTTATATTGTCACTCAAATTGTCAGTCTTATTCTAACTAAAAAGCTAATTCATAGTGTCTGTCAAACCGAAGTCATATTGTCACTCAAACTGTCAGTCTTATTCTCACTAAAACCATCAGTCATACACTCTCTTAAACTATGAGTCATATTGTCACCCAAACTCTCAATCATACACTCACTCAAATCAACAGTCATATTGTCAGTCAAACCGTCAGTTATATTGTCACTCAAACTGTCAGTCTTATTCTAACTAAAACCGTAAGTCATCGTGTGTGTCAAACTGTCAGTCATATTGTCACTCAAACTGTCAGTCTTATTCTAACTAAAAAGCTAATTCATAGTGTGTGTCAAACCGAAGTCATATTGTCACTCAATTTGTCAGTCATACACTCACTCAAATCAACAGTCATATTGTCACCCAAACTGTCAGTCTTATTCTCACTAAAACCATCAGTCATACACTCTCTTAAACTATGAGTCATATTGTCACCCAAACTCTCAATCATACACTCACTCAAATCAACAGTCATATTGTCAGTCAAACCGTCAGTTATATTGTCACTCAAACTGTCAGTCTTATTCTAACTAAAACCGTAAGTCAAAGTGTCTGTCAAACCGTCAGTCATATTCTCAGTCATACTGTAGTTCATACTATCACCCAAACTGTTGTTCATACTGTCACTCAAACTCTAAGTCATATTGTCAGTCAAACTGTGAGTCATATTCTCTCTCGAACCTTGAGTTATACTGACAACCAAACCCTCATTCAAAATGTCAATCAAACTGTCAGTTATATTCCTAGACGTAGTCATGTGATTTTATCCCAAGCATATGGGGATTCTAAATTTTTGTCCCTATCGTTATCCCAATTGAATTTTTTTTTGGAATTTAAAATTTTTTTCTCCATGTAAACTTAAATTTTAATTTTTACCACTAAAATGCAATATTTCAACAAATTAATGAGTAATAATATTTTAATTTATAATAAATATTATAAATCTCCTCAATTTAATGTAATTATTGTATTAATTTTTGTTGAAAATATAAAATCTTCAAGTAAATGATGTGAATTTAATATTTTTAGAATGTTGTTTAATTGTACTATATTATGCATGTAAAATTTTGTTACAATACATTTTATATGGGATCCCCATTGCCCAATTGAGAGAAAATTGAGAGGTGGGATTGGGCTAGCCCAATTCAAAATATCCCAGGTGGAAATAAAAAAATTAACAATTCAACATAAAAAAGCATCTTAAATAATAATGATAAAAAGAAATTTTGTATGAATTTCAATCAAATTTGTTTTTATTCAACTTAAGAAATCACTTCATTAATGAAAGAAGTCGGGTTCACAACATATCCCGATCTTGAAACGAAACAACATGTTTTTTTGATGCCCTAAACGGGGGGTCGCCAGCAAAAAAAAAGATGTCAAAATTTATCCCAAAAATTTAAAAAAAATCGAAGAAAGTGCATCCCAGGGATTATAAAATTTAAGTTTTCACATCTCTACTAGACGCATTCAAACTTTCAGGCATATTGTCAGCCAGATACTCAGTTATAGAGTCACTTTTTTGTCATTAATGAATTCAGTTATAGATTCAAACATACATTCGGTCCAATATTGGATCATGCAGTTAATTCTACATTTTTTTAACTTGTAAGTCATTATTTATGAAAATATTTAAAATAGTGTAATTGCACAATGATGTGCAGTATTATCTTTAATATTAATATTGTAATATGCAATGTTATATTCTAATTTGAATGTTCCTTTTTAACCTCATGATTTCTTCTCACTGATCTGCCTTTTTATGCAGCATTTTGTATTTAATCTCTCTTATCCTTTAGATTCTCTATGCTTTTCATCTTTCTAAACCAGATTCCATTGTTAATTCTTAAATTAACACAAATCTTAAATTTCATATTAGTCATTGATCTGAAGTTATTGAAACATCTGACGTCTTTAGATTATCTAGGGCTGTACAAGATTTAAAAAAACATTGCCGGGTTACCGTAGAGGCCTAAAAAAATCGCGCCTCGGCGGCAAGCCGCCTCGGCATTAAGAATGCGCATCTAAATTTTTATATGTCCTTCTTTCTTTTATTTTTCCCTTCCCTTTCTTTTCTTTTTCTTTTTTTCCTCCTCTTGCTCTCATTTACCTTTTTTTTCCTTTTCTCATCATTTTTCAAAATTTAAAATTTTTATCAAAAATCTTGCCTATAAAAGCAGACTATGGAACCTTTTAATGCCTCTTAATCAATATTATACAGCATAAAGCATATTAAATGAAAGTAATTACGTATAAATTTATTTTATTATCTTATTTATTAATTCTTTAGCATGTATTGTTTAATATTAACTTTTCTGTACATTAAATATGATATCTCCAAAGTATGAATGCCTTGTAACGAAACGAAAACTTAATTTTATGTTGAATATTTGTCGCAAAACATTAGATTATTAAAATATATGTTGGATATCCCTTAGTATGAGACTTCATGACTCTTGTTGTCTAACGTGAGCTTTGGATTGCAAGCTCTGTGGTTAACGAACATAAATTAATTGTAAAGTTTTCAAAAATTTTCATCGTTTCTATCAGCATCTATTTTTCCTTTAAAATATATATATTTGTATGAATACAATATTTAGTAATTTTTTATTTCCCATAATTTCATTCAAAATTTCAGAAAAAATTAATTTCTATTCAATATTATTTCAGCTTCAAAACACTTCATTCTTATAGATGTTGATTCACTAAAGTGTGATTCTATTTATATATGTGAGGTAGGGGCATGAGGCTCGGCAAGTCTTATTGCTTTTTACCTCAATTTAGGTATTAAATAATTATAATGATTCATAGTGGCCGCTGCTGACTGGCCATCAGCAGTCCCCTGGCCAAGATTAATATAATTATTTAATACTTATCCAGTTTTACATCAATAACAACAAAGCTAATCAATCATCATTCAGAAATGCGGGAAATTACTACTAATATTAAAGATTGATAGACATTAGGCTGGCCACCTTCTGTCTAATATCTTTACGAATAAAAATAATACTTTTTAAAACAAATTATTTAATAAATTTTATTAAAAAACAAAATCAAATATCAAATTGATCATCATTCAACTTGATGAAGAAGCGGCATGCTACATATTCTTCTTTGCATGATTCGTTCATTGAATTTCTTGTCTTTCGCAATTCAGATATTACACGTTCTACATCTGCTTCACTGCACGAAAGTGACATCATCCTTTTTCCAATTGGTCTTATTGCTTTTAGTTGCTTTATGCCATTCATGTACCAAAACTTGCCATCATTTTGAGCAAGATGATGACCATTTATAAGATGGGAATCATCTTGCTCTATGAAGAAATCGTAAGCATCACTCAATTCCTTGGCTCTATCGTCTTTATTGATCGTTGGATCAACTGTTGATTCGGCAATTGCTCTTTGTCTGAGGATTGTTATCATGAATGTGTATAGATCTTTTATCTCTTCATCTACAACATCCCAGACCAAGGAATTCCTCGAACCATCGGCATTTGTTTCGGCTGCATGATCGTCGTTAAGCATTTGTTCCTCTTCTGCTTGCTGGATCTCTTCATCATGCTCGGCTACCTCGTCAACACGTTCTGTTCGTTCTTCTTCAAGGATTTCGCCGAGTTTCTCAAATGTGATCTCGCGATTGATGATCCTCAGGGAAGGAATCGTTGGGACTTGCACATCTTTCAACTGCATTATAGGTGGATAGCTTGTCTTTCCTCCAAAACCCTTCTTGTCTCTGATGATCTTCCTTGCTAACGGTGTAAAGCCGAAAGCAAACCGAAGCAAATCAATTCTACCATATTCTTTCATATCATTTTTGAATATTGTAGTGATTGATCGGAGAATCTCTTCACCATCTGGCGTTAATCTTCCTGCCATTTCATCCAACATCCCTTGGCACTGTTGTATCATCAGGAATGCATAAGCACCCATGGACTTGTTGGATTCCAGCCATAATTGAAGTTGCTTTAATGGCTTGAATATCATTAAAGCATCTTTAAAGAGTGGAGGAATTCCATCACGTGTCCATTGTAACTGTTCACGTGTAGCTCTGGAAAGGGATAGTGGAAGATCTCCACTTCTTAAAGCAGTATTAATTGTTTCCAGATTATCAAAGATGAAAAACAGAGTATCATATATGTAGAGCCAGCGAGTTTCCGGGATTGATGGAACCCTGATCTTGTATCTCGCTCTCATATCGTGATTCTTAAAGATAATGATAATCTGGTGAACTCTATTCATCAGTTCATTCAACAATGGACATTGCTTACGTGCGTGGACAATAGCATTGTTCAAGACGTGGTTAAGGCAACGAATGTACACGGTTTGTAAGCCAGGGAAAAGGGCTCCTTCTGGCCTCCAGTGGCAGAGTCCTTTAACCTGGGCTGGCAAACCATCTCCGACTACTCCAGCTACGTGGTTTTTATTAACCTTAAGAGAATCAAACCACGTATGGTAGTCCTCGTATGTCCAATTAGTCGAAATTGTTGTGTCGAAGAATTGGTGGCGATCTGTTTTGCCTGGATTGCACACACAAGAGAATAGACCATGACGGCTGCCGTGTGTTCCGCAGTCCAGGGAAATTGAGAAGATGCGGAATTCCTCGCAGAACTTTAGGCCCCGAGAGGAGTCTGTTTTGCCTAAAGTAATCAATGCCTCTCTGACACCGCGCCGTGTGAACTCAATGTCTGGGATTGTAAAGTTGATGCCCTGTTCGCGATTGACTTTATTTTTAAGCCATTTGGCGAAGCTCTCTAGGAAGCTTTTAAATGCTGGCTTCATTGTGGCATAAAGGCTTATATCTAGGCTCGCAATAAGCCTGGCAATGATCTCTTCTAACGAAGGATCATTACCAGAGCCAACTGCTTGCTGAGTATTCTCAACTTGGTGCTCAGCAGGAACGTAGTTGGGCATTGGGAGTAAAAATTTGCACTTATGATCTTTAAAATCATTTTTTGCTTTTTTTAATGCATCGCACGAACTGCCCTTGAACTAATGTTTCACTACATTCGGCACAGTATGTAAAGAGCCTTCCTTTGTCTGATTGATTAGGCTCATTCTCATAATAGCCGATCGTAGTGAAACATTTTTTCCACACTTTGTTTCCAATGTTTCAGGAGTTGGTGGATATTTCGTCTTCTTAAATGGAATCCACTCATCATATACATGAGGATCCCATGCAGTCATAATAAAAATAAAGCTTTTTGAATATATTCAATTTTTAAATGATATTTTCACGGGTTAAATATAAAATAAAGAATAAGATGTAAATTATTAAAATATTTAATTTTAAATTTTGAACCCGTGATAAATATTTTTTTGCATTGTTATTAATAATGAAAAATAAAGCTTATTTCAATGAAAATTGTTCTGCAAATTTATTTCACTTTTGACCTCACTTTTTCCGTAATTCAATTTTTTACTTTTAATATTTTAGATCTTCATAATATCATTTGAAAAATTAACCATATAAAAAAATCAAGTTATCAATTCACTTTTTCCGTAATTCAAAAATCAAAAATATAAATAATATATCTTTTTATCAAATATTATTATTATATTCTATGAAAAATGAGGTCCGGAAATTTTGCGGATTCCCGTAACTCAATTTTACGGAAAAAGTGCAGTAAACTATTCAAAATACGGAAAAATTGGTGTAAACTAATGATTTTACGGTAAAATCACGGAAAGTCCCGGAAGAATATATGTGCCTATATGAAATTATACAAAAATGAATCAAACGCATTTTAAAAGATTGTTCTTGTATTATAAATGCTATTCGCAGATTTATTAGTTGAAGAAAATTACCAAATTTTTGCCGATTTACAAAAAATGATTTACAAAGCATATTTTTATAAGGCTTAAAAAATCTTTAAAATGTGACCGGTGACGGAAATCCATGGTAACCAACCGCGGTTCCCGTTTGGAATGCCATAAGATTATCTTATCTAATATTAAAATGATTGATCTATTTACATTTTTAAAATAGTCCTAAAAAGTCTCAATATTTATAAAAGCATAATAAAATTAAATTTTTTAATATCATTTTGTAAATTATTCGTTTACTTTATGGCATAGTCTTGAAAAAGTATCAAAAAACATTATCTTAATGGTCTCTAAAGAGGTTAAGTAGCATACACACAGATATGCTAATGTGGTAAAAAGAGATTTATTGCAAAAAGTCCAAAATAGTATATTTATTATCAAGATTCGCGTGGAAACGTACGAGTTTGGGACGAATAACTAACATTCTTAAACATTTAGTAATACTATGATAAGTACAAGTCCTTAGATGTGACATATGGCTTCTTTTGTTCTAACTTACCAAATTCAAGAACTCAAGTTGGCAGTAACTCTGTACTAAACATACTCTAAGAGCTTGTCATTATTCCGTGTATGACAAATCATACTTTAATGTTTTACTCGTTGAATAAAGAATGCTTGATTTTGAAATCGAATGTTTTTGCTTAAATAGTTCCAGATTCTTGAACTAGGGACGGAATTAGAGGACACGTCTTTGCTGGTTAGTCGCGTGCTTGATGACAATATGCTACAATTATAATAAACGTACAAAAGGGACGAAAATTGAGAGCTTGTAACTTTCAACCCTATTTTGGAAATATGCATATTCGAAGTATGAGAGTTGTAAACACTGAGAATTTTAAGCTTTGGTTGATGATAGTCTTTAATTTTTCTTGAAGTAGTAAATTATTTGATATGAAAATTTAATGGCCAGCATAATCAATCGTGCGTTTCGTTTCTTGATTGAGAAACAATTGTTGTAAACGAAAACGATAAAAACGGTTTGACAAAAAAGTGGCACTTTACATGGCAAAAAATCGAGCCTTACTTTTGAGATACTTGAGAGTGAAACTGAATCTTATGAGGCGGTGATCTTGAATCACTACCTCATAAGGTTCAGTTTCATATAAAATTTGTTGCAATTTGTTATTCTTTTGCAATTATTTCTTATAAGATTTTACATCTTTTAGCGGGGAATGTTTGTTATCATGTATATATTATAAATATCTACACGATAACGAACATTCCTCACTAAATTACTGAGAAACTTTGAGGAAATGTCGAACAATTTCCTCAAAGTTTCTCAGATTTATATAGATAACTAGAGTCCCCTAGGCACTGATTCTGGTTCAGTACCTAGGAGGCTCAAGTTCTCTAACGAACTGATAAAATGTTTTTAAATTTTTGGATATTGCTACCTGTGAAGCACTGACTTCAAGTCAGTACCTCACAGGTAGCAATTACATTGAAATATGGGAGAAACTTTGTCCGAATGTTAGACTATTCGGACAAAGTTTCTCCCATTTGTAGTGGAGATGGAAGGCTTTGAGGTATATTATATTAATGTATACCCCAAAGCCTTCCATCTCCACTTGAAAGTGTCCAAACTTTGGGTTAATAGTTTGCAATTAACCCAAAGTTTTGGAACTTTCTAGAAGGAATTGCAGGGTAAGAGGTACATATTCATACTATGTACCGCTTACCCTCCAATTCCTTCCTTAACATAAACAAATTTGGAGTTAATTGTTTGCAATTAACTCCGGGTTTGTTGACCTCCAAATGAAAATGAAAGGGTAAGAGGTATATAGTGACCCTATATGCCTCTTACCCTTTCATTCTCATTAATTATGGGAGAAACTTTGGCCGAATGTTAAACTATTCGGACAAAGTTTCTCCCATTTTGCGAAGGAATTGGAGGCTATGAGATACTGATGAAATGTCAGTAACTCATGGCCTTCAATTCCATCCTAAAACTCATAAAAGTGGACCTTACATGCATATAAAATTTGACATGTAAAGTCCACTTTTTGTGAGCGGGGATTTGACTGCGTCAAATCCCCTTTTTCGTTTACGAGACGATGATTGTGTGCTAATGAATTATTGCGTCTGACAGGTTATGATTATGGATACCTGAAATTAAGCTTTTATGGGAAACATCACCGAGCGCCATTTGGCACCCCTAATGCTGTTTCTATCGGTATGATTAAGGAGCTTTCTTATGCACTTTCATCACTTGAACTTGAACGCTACAAGATATATGCCCCCTCCCAATGGGAGGTGGGAGCAAAAATTGAAATGTTTACATTGATTTTTGAATACTTTACAAGCGCCCCTCCCAGTGGGCGCGGGCGCAAGTGATCGGGTCAAAAAAAATCATAAAAATATTCAAAATTGCATTTTAATAGATGTTTAAGAAGTAAATTTATTAATAACGATATTTCATAGTACAAAATGTGTTCAATCTCTTCGTAAATCATTCAAAAAAATCAAAAGAATTTCCAAAATTCAATTTTTTAGTAAAATTTATATCTTTTTCTATCGTCTCCTCCCCACCAGTGGGAGCCACCAGAGGCGCGGTCGGCGCCGCTGGCGCCAAAAAAGTAGCGCCCATCGTGCCATGTATAAACTTAAATCTTTCTATAATTTACAACAGAGCTTGTCTAATAATTAGGACAACCCTAGGAAATTATTGTAATTTGGCAATAAGTGTGAAATCCTAAATTCATATTTGTTATTATAGATCTGCAATTTTCCCAAATGAACGGGGTGGATAAGATCCCAGCCATATCGTCATCCCAGTGTCAATTTTACAAAAAAAATTCTTAATAAAAAATTTTTATTAAAAAATTCTTATTAAAAAATTCTTATCTTTTTTCATTGAAATTTAAATAATAAAATAAATTTGGCTGTAAAAACCATCAATTATTATAATTCTTATCGAAACACATGTAGAAAAACACTTATCTTTTATACTCTTTCTATTTGAAACCTGTTTAGTTCAGTAATTAATAATAAAAATTGTGAAAATAGTGACTATTTAACTAAAAATATATTAAATGATGTAATAATGAGATATACATATATTTTTACGAATTATAATTAGAAATTATTCTGGTCTGGGAATCCCAACCCAAAATCATTGAAAATTTGAATATATGGGATGGGCTACCCATCCCAAAACCATATTGAAATTTTTGAATTGATAATAAATGTATCTATATCTAAGGTATATTAGAGAATTTTTAAAAATTATGCATTAAAAAATTGAATTTATTCAAAACAAATTGAGAATAAAAATGCTTAAGTAATCACTTCATTATTTCAACAATGATTGATGCAGTACCGACGTACTATAAAGACATTGAGGTCGGTACTAAGCATCAGTATCTTAGATATAAAAAACCAGGCGACAAGTACGGAAAATATTATGTTAAATGCAATGAACTAGTAAAGCGTCCTGACGGAACTATATGCCACTGTGCAATGGAAGAAATGCGTGAGGATCATTTCAAAAAATGGATCCAAAACAAACGGCACATATGCACACCAGGAGAAGTAGCATCACAACAAACAATCGATCAATACTATCAAAACGTCCCAGCAACAGGGCTTACACCTATATCGTTAGGGGATATCTATGAACAGCTTGCTACATTTACTGGAAGATTTAACTTGGCTCTGAATACCTTCTCAAGCCCAGAGTTTACAAAGCTAGTTAAAACCATTATAATGTATACTGCAGACTCGATGATATTGAAGTTCCCACAGTTACACAATGTTAACATCAATGTTGATAAACTAGCTTCTCAAATATACCAGCCTATTTCAACTGACAAACTAAGGCAAACAATGATACAAATTGCAAATTCAATCCATGTTGCAAAAGTTGATGAGTTTGCTAAGCTTGCCTGTACCTGTGTTGCCATTGATGAGGGGAAGACTCAGCAGTTTCACAATCTGGACTTCTCCCTCACAAATCCTCTGCAAAGCAAGCGGCCCTATCCTGTTGAGTCAATCCAAATGAATGGTGGAACATCTGAAGATTATATCCACTCGCTTACTCAAGGATTTAACAGAATCTTCATTAGAGATGTTAAGATCAGCAGTGTAGTTTGCGATGGCAATAAAGCGCAATTGAAATGTTTTCAGAAAGGATGGAATCAATCGTTCTACAACTCAAATGACCCAAGGTTATTCAAAATCTTGTTTATCCCGTGTTTATGCCACAGGATTCATAATTGTTATCAATATATGACAACAAAAGACGTAGCATTAGGAGCAATTGTGAAACATATCCACGAAATATCAGCTCTTTGTAGAATCCATGTTGAAGACATCGGAGCTCTCTGTCCAAAGCATGTATCCACCAGGTGGATCTATGATTATAATATTTGTATGTTTATTATCAAGTATCAAGGCAAAATTTCAAGATATACGCGTATTGATATTGAAAACATCAAGTTCTTAAGAGACTGCTTGGCAATTCTCAAGAAGCTTATTTCCACGTTCGAATCAGATAAAACCAAGATATCTGATTGCTACGTATGACTTTGCAAGGGTATTGAAGCACTCCAATACCTTTCCAGCAGCAACAACAATCCTTTTGCTGGAATCCTTTCAAGATCGTTGTTGAACTATACCCTTGGATCGGACTTTGGAGGTCTTTGGTGCTTAGCCTTCGCTTTTACACCGAAAGGTAGGTATTATTTCAACCAAATATTCGTCCACGGAGCGCAGATCAACGAATCTCCGGCAATTAATTCATTTGATATTACAAACGTAACTTTCGTTAATCCAGTTGAAGACATTCAATCTATCTATATGGACTCTATCTTTGAAGAAGGTTCGACTGAAGTTTCTCTTGATATGGTTGAGGAGGGATCAATTCGTCAGGTTCTCGTAAACGAAAAAGAGGATTTGACGCAGTCAAATCCTCTCTCTCAAAAAGTGGACTTTACATAGCAAATTTCAAATGCATGTAAGATCCACTTTGATCAGTTTCAGGATGGAATTGGAGGCCATGAGTTACTGACATTTCATCAGTATCTCATAGCCTCCAATTCCTTCGCAAAATGGGAGAAACTTTGTCCGAATAGTTTAACATTCGGCCAAAGTTTCTCCCATAATTAATGAGAATGAAAGGGTAAGAGGCATATAGGGTCACTATATACCTCTTACCCTTTCATTTTCATTTGGAGGTCAACAAACCCGGAGTTAATTGCAAACAATTAACTCCAAATTTGTTTATGTTAAGGAAGGAATTGGAGGGTAAGCGGTACATAGTATGAATATGTACCTCTTACCCTGCAATTCCTTCTAGAAAGTTCCAAAACTTTGGGTTAATTGCAAACTATTAACCCAAAGTTTGGACACTTTCAAGTGGAGATGGAAGGCTTTGGGTATACATTAATATAATATACCTCAAAGCCTTCCATCTCCACTACAAATGGGAGAAACTTTGTCCGAATAGTCTAACATTCGGACAAAGTTTCTCCCATATTTCAATGTAATTGCTACCTGTGAGGTACTGACTTGAAGTCAGTGCTTCACAGGTAGCAATATCCAAAAATTTAAAAACATTTTATCAGTTCGTTAGAGAACTTGAGCCTCCTAGGTACTGAACCAGAATCAGTGCCTAGGGGACTCTAGTTATCTATATAAATCTGAGAAACTTTGAGGAAATTGTTCGATATTTCCTCAAAGTTTCTCAGTAATTTAGTGAGGAATGTTCGTTATCGTGTAGATATTTATAATATATACATGATAACAAACATTCCCCGCTAAAAGATGTAAAATCTTATAAGAAATAATTGCAAAAGAATAACAAATTGCAACAAATTTTATATGAAACTGAACCTTATGAGGTAGTGATTCAAGATCACCGCCTCATAAGATTCAGTTTCAATCTCAAGTATCTCAAAAGTAAGGCTCGATTTTTTGCCATGTAAAGTGCCACTTTTTTGTCAAACCATTTTTATCGTTTTCGTTTACAACATTCATTCCAAGATTTCAAAGAGAAATACTTAACTGTTACTGATGATGGTACTGGTAATCCAGCTTATGTATATCCATTAACAGGTCGTTTAGGTGAAGCACTTCAGAATACAAAAGATGTTTCAGCAAAGAAATTCTTTAATGATGCAATTTATAAAGCTACTTGTGATGCAAATAAAAGCTTAGTTGAAAAACTATTTGCAAGTTATGGATGGCAAAAGAATTCAAAGGATGAACCAGAAATTAAGAAAGCGAAAGCATTTAATAAAGCGAAGTCTAAATCTCAAGGTGGAAATCTAGCATATTTAGCTCTTGTTAAATTAGCTGTTTATAGATCATTAAATAGGGAATATGGTATGAACAGTTTCAAGATAGAGGCACAAAATGAAATCGGAACAAGAGGTGGATCAAAGGATGAAGTTGATGAAAAGGCTGAAAGAAGAAGGAAATCATTTGAGAGCTCAAAGACATTTAAGAATGCTGCTCAGCAGGTTGTTATGAATCTTGTCAATAACTTTAGATCAGCAAATAGAGATCAAATTGTAAATGTTTGCATGGCTGCTCTTAACTATGCTGCTAAAGTCGTTGGTTCTAATCAGAAATTCTCATTTAATACAGGTGTTGATTTCATTGGACGTATTTCACAATATTACATGCCAGGTGTTGTAAGTCCATCCGGCGGAGCTGTTCCACAACGTAAACGTGTCAAACAAGAACTTCCAATGCCCCCATCACCAGGGCAAATGAGTATTCCAAGACAAATGGCTCCACTTTCCGCAAGACAAGCTGCACCACCACCACGACCAAGACAACAGTTTGAAGAAGTTCCATTAACAGCAGATGTTAACAATTATAGAAATGGTGATGATGCTGATAGTTGGGATGAAGCAAGGGCAAGACAACTTGAAAATGAAGCTTTTGATGAAGATGATGAACCAGCTCCCCCATCAAATATCCATCCACAAGCTTATTACGAGTATTAAAAACTTAATTAAATGATTTAATAATTATATTTTTTTAATCACAATCAAATAAAAAGATGAGGCATAGACCAACAACGAGTGCAAAAGGAGAAGTAATATTTGGATACAGTGTTAACCAGGACAAAAGTAAAATATTACAGAATGTTCAAGTTAATGTAAATTCACGTGATACAGAACCGAAACCATAACCTTCAGAATTTAGTACAAGAGAAATTGTAACAGAAGCTACACCATCCGATGATGGAATTCAAGTTGTTTATGGACCACCGAAAGTTTATGAACCTGTTATATACGAAAACGATAAAAACGGTTTGACAGAAAAGTGACAACTTTGCGTGTCAAAAATAGAAAAAAGTGACATTTATTCGTAATATTAAAATGAATCATCATAATCTTCTTCATAAGGGTCTTCATAATCTTCTTGATATTCTTCTTCATAATTTACTTCGTATTCATCTTCTTCATTACTATCTTCTTCTATTTCAAACGGATTCGCCTTATTTTCTTCTTCTTCAACTTCCTCGCCTTCTTTTTCCCATTCATCTTCTTCGATTCCTTGGAGCTCTGGCATCTCATTGGCCATAAGTGAACCTGGAAGAAAATCTTGAGAGACTCTATCCACAATCCATTTTGCCGGCATTCCCCTCTTCCAAATTGGAAGTTTCTTCCACATTTCAGATGGGCTATAGTGAAATTGTTTTCCATTCACATAATGAGTTGGTAATGCTAGATGAGGTTTAGCATTATAGTACTCAACCCATTGTTGAATCTTTGCCCATGACAACTCTCTGCTCTCTATTTTGGTATGGGCAATGGGGGACAATATATACATTATTGATCCCCCGAACCCTCATAGCCTTTAGGAACTCGCCTTTATTCTCGCCGCCATTATCGGACCAAATTGTATGTGGTGGTCCATAACGGGCTATTGCTCTCTTAATTACTTTCACTGTTTGGCTAGCATGTTTTGACGAAAGATGCTGCCATTCTATGATGAGCCTTGTACAGTCATCAATCACAGCATAAAGAATCTGACTTCTGTTTTTGCCAAGAAAGTGGATATCAACGTGCCATATTTGGTTAGGAAAGGCAGCTAAGTATCTTGTCTTTCCTTTTGGCCGATAGGGTCCCCTTGGACGTGCCAAGCCTAGCTCTCTAAAAGCTCTTTCTACCATATGTCTTGAGGGGGGATGTGGAAGAGGGTTTGTAAGATATTTAATGTTCCTCAGCTCAGATGGAAATGATAATGGAGACTCTTCAATCATAAGTCCGGAAGAAATTGTGGAAGAAATTTGATTCAGGGGCTTAAAACGTTCAATAGCGGTGAACCATGTTTGGGTAGGCGTTGGCTGTGGAACAATACCCGTCTTCATGTCCAAAAATGCCTCAAAATGAGATTTGGCATATTCGATATCTTTATTTATTTGGTTATAGGCGGAGATTATTCCAAGATGGCCATGCTGCTCAATTAGGTTTCTAATAGTTACCTTAAGATCTTTTGGTACATTAACTTTGGGTCTCCCGCGCTTAAGGGGAATAGACACAGATGGGTGAGACTGAGGCTGAGTATTGGCAGAGAGCTGTTGCTGTGGGGGAGTGTTGGCAGAGAGTTGATTCTGTGCCGAGGTGTTGGCAGAGAGCTGGCGTTGAAGATGAGTGTTGGCAGAGAGCTGGCGTTGAAGATGAGTGTTGGCAGAGAGCTGGCGTTGAAGATGAGTGTTGGCAGAGAGCTGGCGTTGTGTCTGGGTGTTGGCAGAGAGTTGTTGCTGTGGAAGAGAGTTGGCAGAGAGCTGACGTTGTGGGCGAGTGTTGGCAGAGAGTTGTTGCTGTGGAAGAGAGTTGGCCGGGAGCTGGAGTTGTGTCTGGGTGTTGGCAGAGAGTTGTTGCTGTGGAAGAGAGTTGGCAGAGAGTTGTTGCTGTGGAAGAGAGTTGGCCGAGAGCTGGAGTTGTGTCTGGGTGTTGGCAGAGAGTTGTTGCTGTGGAAGAGAGTTGGCAGAGAGCTGGCGTTGTGGGCGAGTGTTGGCAGAGAGTTGTTGCTGCGCCGAGGTGTTGGCAGAGAGTTGTTGCTGTGGAAGAGAGTTGGCCGAGAGCTGGAGTTGTGTCTGAGTGTTGGCAGAGAGTTGTTGCTGTGGAAGAGAGTTGGCAGAGAGCTGGCGTTGTGGGGGAGTGCTGGCAGAGAGTTGTGGCTGTGGGGGAGTGTTGGTACTGCTGGCTAATGAAAGCTGGCGTTGAAGAGGAGCGTTGGCAGAGAGCTGGCGTTGTGGCGGGGTGTTGGCAGAAAGTGGGCTTTGTAGAGGAGCGTTGGCTGTTGAGAGCTGTTGCTGTGGAACAGAGTTGGTAGTGCTGGCTGATGAAAGCTGGCGTTGTAGAGGAGTGCTGGCTGATGAGGGTTCTTCCTGTATACGAGAGTCGTTTGAACTTTGTAATATCAAATAATCGGTAAGGAGAGTGTCATCTCTGTGTTTCAAAATGGATGAACACTCGTAGAGTCGATTATTATATTTAATGTAGAAAGTAGTAAACTCTTGAAGTTTGTATGTATGATGTAAGTACTCTTCAATAGTAATTAGTCTATTACATATGAGAGCTTTGTAAAATGTTATCTTGTTAATTGATGAACGAATAGTGTTGTTGACTAATGGAACATTTGTGAGAACAATGGCTAACGGTGTGCGCCTTTGAATCTGTGCTAGAGCTGTTTCAAGCCAAGCTGAATCAACTAAGGTGTACAAATTCATTTTAAACAAATTTGAAATGAAATAATTTGTGAGAATTTGAGAATAATTTAATTATTTCAGAAGTCTATATTGAAAAATATTCTTAACAAAATTAATTTAAATGGTTCAGAAAATAAAAAATTAAAATTAATGGAAAAAACATGATTAGGAATAATTAACAATAATAAATATCATGGTTTTGGATTATTTAAACAGCTATAAAAGAACGAATTTTACAAATTACGATAAAAAATTATTGAAAAATAATGAAGAGGATAAGGATTTGAATCGAAAATTAAAAGGATGGTTATGTGTCAAATTAAATTAAAATAAAAATTTTAGAAGATTTTGTTACATATTAAGTTCTGTCAAAATGTAAGCTGTTGAATTTTTTGAGAGGGAAATAATCGTCGAGGAAGTAAAAAGTGACGCTTTAGGAAATATTATTAGAAATATGATAATAAATATATTTGGAAAAAATATGTTTTTTCAAAAATTGAAATGTTCATAGAATATTTTGAAATATGTAGGGAATTGAATTCGGTAATATATGATAAACAGGATTTTTAAATTTCAAGGAAAAATAGCTTTTGTGAATACTTTTGAGAACTCTTCTCAAAGATCATGATTCAAATATATTAAGGAGCCAAAATATTAGAGATGAGTTCACAATCAAAATTTTACATTTTAATTATTTAGAAAAACGTATTAACCTCAATAAAAAAATATCTCAAAGATTAATAGTTAATTTATGGTTTCCTAGCTATCTAGAGGGAATTGTTCCTTATGATGTATATATTTATAATGTATGCATCATAAGGAACAATTCCCTCCTTAAAACGAGAAAACTTGTTCGAAATTGTTTATCATTTCGAACAAGTTTTCTCGTTTTTAATAACAAACTAAAGGCTATGAGGCACTGATTATATATTAGGGCCTCATAGCCTTTAGTTCCCTGTAGAAAAGATCGAAATTTTATTCTGATTTTAACTGATCTATATTTCGCTTGCGTTATTTGAATCTTTTCTTTTGCATATGTCATTCCTTTCACTTTTCGAATTTCATTTGCCTGCATGCTCTCTCGTTTTGGTTGAAAATCAACTCAATCTTAAAATGAACTTCTTCATTCTTTACAATAAATTCAATTTTTTTCGAGATATATCTTTATCTACCCCTATGTGAGCTGCATATTCTTTCTCGCTAAATTCTTTTGATTCTTCAGAGCTAAAAATCAAGTTTAATAAAAATAATGTTTATTCATAATTTTGAAAACCAAATTCAAATTTGAATGAGAATTTTTGAAAAAAATATAGAATATTTCAATAGTTTGGAATCTCTTCAACTTCCCACTGCTTATTAACACATTTTTTCCAGAGCGGTTTATCATCCTTGGTCCATTTCTTAAATTTGTTGTAAACCTCTCTTGGAGTGTATGGTCGAACTCCAATTTTTGGATGAGCGCCATGTGGCATGTCATTGTATTTTTGCCTGAATTCTTCCAATTCCTGATTGATGCTCTCAAATTCTGAAGACTTTGGAGCATTTTTGTCCAGTGATGGCCAGAGGCGTTCAATTTTGCCATTTTGACGTGGCATGTATGGAGCTGATTTTCTGATTTGAATGTCATAAGTACTCAAAAATTTTGTGAACTCTCCCTCATTTTCTTTACCGTTATCTGACCAGAAACAGAAAGGTGCTCCATATTTTTGAACTGTTGCAATTGCCACTTTTGAAGTTTCTGTTGAACTTTTGTTACGAAGCAATTTCAATGCTAACAAATAACGACTTTTGTCATCAATTATTCCATAAACCGGTAAAGTTTCTGGTTCTTTCAAAAAATGAATATCCACATGCCAGATTGTATTTGGAAGAATTGCTTCATAATCCACATAATATGCTTTTGGATTACTTTTATCTTTTTCTTTGTAAATTCCCAGAAATTTTGCTGCCTTAATAACTGCATTGTAACTGATTTGAAATTGTTTTGGATTCATATTGAGAGTCCAATACAATTTTTGAACCCCACATTTGTAATTTTCATAAGAATTCTGAACCTTCAAAATTAATTCTGGAGTTAATTCCTCTTGTGGAGGACCACTTTTAATTTTTGGTGTACCACCGATTTCTTTGAATGCTTTTTTGAGAGTATTTCTTGAAATTTGTTTGAAAATTGTAACATTTTAATAAGAATATGGAACTTTTTTCAAAACTGTTGCGTATGTTAACTCACCATAAGGATGTCAATTCGGAAAATTGTTTTCATTTTAGGAGAATATAATTTTCCTTTTCGAAAATTTAAAAAGTGAGACGCGCAGGATTCGAACTTTTTTAAAAGTTGATTTAAATATATTCTAGTGTGGATTCTAAGGATAATATCAAAAAAAAAAAAAAAAAAAAAAAAAAAAAAAAAAAAAAAAAAAAAAAAAAAAAAAAAGTAGTGGGGCTCCCAGGCACTTCGTGCCTTCTAGCCCTGAGGATGAATGAGTATAAATGAAATCTCAACAAAATATTTACGATGAAGTCTTGACAAAGTCTTTATGAAGAAATCTCAACAAAGTCTTTACGATGAAGTCTTGACAAAGTCTTTACGAAGAAATCTCAACAAAGTCTTTACGATGAAATCTTAACAAAACATAGACAAGAAAGTTCATGAGTGTAAATGACCCAAAAATATATTTTAGGGTAGAAGGGTATATCTACCCCGTTTTCTACCCTCTTTTCTACCCTCTTGAATTTTCATGAAATTTACACCAAAAATATACTACTAGGGTCCATTTACGATGAAGTCTTGACAAAGTCTTTATGAAGAAATCTCAACAAAGTCTTTACGAAGAAATCTCAACAAAGTCTTTACGAAGAAGTCTCAACAAAATCTTTACGAAGAAGTCTTAACAAAACATAGACAAGAAATTTCATGAGTGTAAATGACCCAAAAATATATTTAGGGTAGAAGGTATATCTACCCCGTTTTCTACCCTCTTTTCAACCCTCTTGAATTTTCATGAAATTTACACCAAAAATATACTACTAGGGTCATTTACGAAGAAATCTCAACAAAGTCTTTACGATGAAGTCTTGACAAAGTCTTTACGAAGAAATCTCAACAAAGTCTTTACGAAGAAGTCTCAACAAAGTCTTTACGAAGAAGTCTTAACAAAACATAGACAAGAAAGTTCATGAGTGTAAATGACCAAAAATATATTTTAGGGTAGAAGGGTATATCTACCCCGTTTTCTACCCTCATTTCTACCCTCTTGAATTTTCATGAAATTTACACCAAAAATATACTACTAGGGTCATTTACGAAGAAATCTCAACAAAGTCTTTACGATGAAGTCTTGACAAAGTCTTTACGAAGAAATCTCAACAAAGTCTTTACGAAGAAGTCTCAACAAAGTCTTTACGAAGAAGTCTCAACAAAGTCTTTACGAAGAAGTCTCAACAAAGTCTTTACGAAGAAGTCTTGACAAAGTCTTTACGAAGAAGTCTTAACAAAGTCTTTACGAAGAAGTCTTGACAAAGTCTTTACGAAGAAATTCATGAAAATTCAAGAGGGTAGAAAAGAGGGTAGAAAACGGGGTAGATATACCCTTCTACCCTAAAATATATTTTTGGGTCATTTACACTCATTTACGAAGAAAAAACATTTTTATTGTATATATAAAATGAATTTTACAAAACCACCGTTACCCTTCTTTGGAAATAAGAGTAGATGTAAAGATATTCTATTGAGAGAACTTAAGAAACTACCGAATGGTCTAACATTTGTAGATTTGTTCGGTGGAAGTTTCTATATATCTCATTTGTGCCATACAATATTTCCTGACTCAAAGATTATATGCAATGACTTTGACAACTATATGAACCGTCTCAAACATATACCAGACACAAACAAAATATTGAAAGAGTTAAAAGAAAAGATACCTATAGGTAAGATGGAACGTATACCATTAGATAAGAAAAATACTGTCAGAGAGGTTTTGAAAAAAGCAGAGTATATTGACTGGGATAGTATATCTTCTAGACTATTATATAGTGGTTCTATAAGAGTTCATGACATTGAAACACTTATGTCAAACGTTTTATATCTTAACTATACAAATGTTTTCAAAGAGGACATAGAAAAATATATTGAGGGTATAGAGTTTGTGAGATGTCATTGGACAGAGTTGTATGAAAAATATAAAGACAAGGAAAATGTTTTCTTTATAGTGGACCCGCCGTTCTATAACACATATGATTTTCAATACCAAGTAGACTGGACTTTGAGAGACTCTTTAGAAACTTTAGACGTTTTACATAACCATCCATGCTTTTACTTTACATCCGATAAAAGTGGTTTGGAAAGTGTCATGAGATGGTTAGAGGACATACATGACTATGAGTTTAGATACGATAAGATAGAATATGAGAGAGGTCCTATAAACCGGAAAAAGTGTCATAACAAAGAAATTTTATTGGTAAGTAAATGTGGTTTGAAATCGGATTGTTAGTTTTAGGTTTTTTCCATTGTGTCATTTACTTATTTGACGTGGCAGAAAGATATAGAGAATATGAAGATGAACCAATACCAGCAAATGTTCAGCATATGTACTCGTAAGAGATATTTTTATCTAATATTAAATGGACGCACAGAACTTAGCGAATGCACAGCAACCTGGACAACCAAACCCAGAGAATATTCCAAATGAAGTTAGAATACAAACTGCAATGGCAAACTATGGTCAAGTGCCAACAGATGTACAAATGCAAACTGCCATGTCAAATGACGCTGCGTTAGGCTTACCACCATGGTATGCAAATATGAGATGGAAAGAGTTTTATACAAACCCCGAAGTGGGATATAAACAACTCTATGCAGATGACGCGACACAGGAGTTGACCCAGAGTATGTTTTCTACCAGAGGAGAAATAGAATGTATGAGCTCCAGTTAAAGAATGCTATGGAACTCAGAAGGAAACGTAAGAGACTAGGTGGACATTAGATTTTTACATATAGTAAAATGGGTTTCTTTGGAAGAATAGGAAAACTTCTTTCGAAATGTTGGAAGAGGTATATGGAATGGAATAAAAACCGTCGGAAGAGGAATTTGGAACGGAGTCAAAAATATTGCCAAAAGAGTAGGTCAGTTCGTTGGTATTATACCTAAAGACCCTGAACCAGAAGAACAAGCTCCTGTTATACAACAGCCTGAACCTGCACCACAGTCAAGTTGGCAACCAAATCCAACACCTCAACCGTATTAAAATTATATTTTTACCGTTCGATACGTTTGATAGTAGTTTATAGAGACTAAGTTCTAAGTAAAACGCATGGTAAATGGAACTATTCTCTTTCTTCCATCTGTTTAAACCATACTTGAAAGTCTGAAATACTTCCACTCGGTGTTCATATAGCTTTGTAGGTTTTCGTAAAAGTCATTTGCCAAGCATAAAAAGAAGAGTTTTGTGCACACAGAAAATGAAGCATGAACTATAATAGCATCTGAGTCGAAAAACATTTTCATATGTTCCATTAGGGTTTTCGACTTCATAAAAGTTCGGGTGTACTGGATATTCTGCAGGCTGATTTAACATCCTCAAAAAATCTATACCATGCCAAGTTGTTATATTTTGTAGAAATATAAACGTCTTCTCCAAGGTCTTCTATTCTATTGAATTTTAACAGTTGCATTTTTCCTGTCATATATAATATCGAGATGGTACTCTCCTTCGTCAATGTTGTACTGTTTGCATATTCGAGATAGATATCGTTTATTTTTTCTTGAAAACTTGAAGAGTTGTTTCTAAGTTTACAAGCAAATTCACTTGTAAAAGTTTTTCCCTGTTCAAATTTCTCATACATACGTTTTCTTTTGTTATAGTATCGAACTTCAAAAGCGACCGTAAATGGGAAACCATGTATGGCTTCTGAAATGAACTTCAAATTCTACGAAAGCCAATAGCTTTTGTGACGGATGGGTCTCTTAACCATCTTAAGGGTAGTCAAAACGATAGCCTTCATGTTTTACGGTCTCTGTCTCAAACTTTTGACCGACATTAGTAAAAAGTTCATCTAATGGTTTTAGTTGTAGCAACTCTTGAATTTTCTTTTTCTATTGAAAGCATATTTTATCTAGAATAAAATGTCGAAAGAAACAGCGTCTATGAGAGAAATACAACACAACCGACAACTCATTATACAAGCTCTAAATAAAGAACACAACAAACTTTTCAAACTATTCTAAGATATCTGAGTCATTGAAAGAAGGAAACTTAAAACTGACATTAAACCCATTGACAGATGAGTTTCTGTTTCAAGACAATAAGAACCATACTGTTTGTATAAATCCAACAAAAGGAACTTTAAACGAGAAACCTATAGATGAACTTCTTTTGAAAGCAGATGTTGACAACAAAGCTGACAAAGAGTATGTAGATGCAACAAGAGACTATATTCTCGCATGGACAGATAGAACATACCCACAAAAACACCATACACATAACATCTATGACGTAGATGAACTACCAGCAATGTTAGATGACAAAGCGGATAAAACATATGTTGACAATAAAATGTCAAGTGAAGTGACAAGAGCTGACAAAGAATATTCTAAAAAGACTCATACACACGATTTCTTCGCAACTGTTGGTATAGAAAATATTGCAGGAACGGTTGAAGAACCTGATGGAACTGGTGGGGATGTACTACTTTGGAAACCTCCTAACTTTCCACAAGGTTTAACATCGGATGAAGACATAACGACGATGAAATACACTAGATGTAGAAATGTCTATGTCATGGAGGATGAAAACAAAGTTAAATTCACTGCTCAAGATTTATATGACAACAAAGCTGACAAAACATATGTTAACGTTGAGTTAGATAAAAAAGCTGACAAAACATATGTTAACGATGAGTTAGTTAAAAAAGCTGACAAAACAGAGCTTCAAACGTTAAAGACAGAAATACTTCAAACAGTATATCCTATAGGTTCTATTTACACGTCAATGAACTCTACCAGACCAGAAGTAGTACTTGGTTTTGGAACTTGGACTCAAATAGTCGACAGGTTTTTGTATTGTGCAAACTCTTCAAAGGAAACAGGTGGAAGTAAAACGATTTCAGGTGAAAACTTACCTGCACACAGTCACTACATAGATTTAAGTACATCTCAAGCAGGTTGGCATAAACATAGATTTTGGGATTGGTCAGCAATGAAAAAAGGTAAAGGATATGATGTTAAAGACAACGTTCAGTTTGCTATAAATTGTTTCTGGGGTAGCACACAGGGAGATGGAAACCATACACATCGCGTTTCAGGATATACACAAACAACGGGACAAAGTAAAGACTACATGCCACCTTACATGACAGTTTACGCATGGTATAGAAATGCTTAGTCGTCATGTTCCACTTCTTTAGCATATTCGTCAGGAGTTGTCTTATATTTGTTAGGAACTGTCTTTGAAAGTATACCACCTTGAACTTTGACAAGTTTGAAACGAGGTCTGACAATAGTAGTTTTATCTTCTGCTTGCAGTCTGTACATTTTGCCATGTTTGCCTAAAACTTCATAATATTCTCTTGTATACTTTCTTCTATTTTTACGAACACGAACGTGAGTACCTGTCGAGTTCCCATTGTTGTCATAGTCAATAGTATTTTCATATGGGTCGCGTTTAGGTATTTCTATTTTTACTTTGTCACCTTTCTTAAGTTTGAAGCCTGGCATTCTTTCTTGTTTGTCTCTTTTGACTAAACTATTAAATATATAGTCTTTCTCTAAGTCGGGGTTGTTTTTCATTTCTTCGGGGGAGTGGTTTCCCAAACCTTTTTGTTTACGGCTATTGTAAATATTTAAAACTTGTCTCATCTTTGCCATGGAGAAATGTCTGTATTTGTCGTCATATGACATTTCATCTACCTCACCACCTTGTGGTTGATTTAAGTCTCTTAAGATTTTTATACAACTGTCAATGACACCAAGAGCAGAATGGTTTTGGTCGACAATGAAATATTGGTTTACATTTTTTGAACGCAGATAGTTTTTAATATCGTCTGATTTGAAAGAACGTTCACAGTCAGATGTCAGTTTTGTTGGATGGTATTTGTCAACGAATATTGTCAAAGCAGTTTTCACATCTAAAATATTTTTGGACTGTAATGGTATAGCTTCACAGTATCTTGTGTTTTGACCGACAAATATTAGCCAGTATGGTGGTCCATCTTCTCTATACCTCGGAATGTTTTCCAAGATATCCATAAACCAAGCATTTGGTGTTGAACTAAAGATTTTTACCATGAGTGCTTTCTTTGTTGCTTTAGAAACATACGGGTCCTTGTTTGGATTCGTCATTTTTATCCTATAAGAAATGGGTTTATTTGGCGCATTAGCAGGAGTTGCATCCAGATTTTTGCCCGCAGTGGGAACAATAGCCAGAGGTGCATTTGGAATTGGAAGGAAGATTTTGAGTACATTAGGTATACTGAAAGAGAAAGCACAACCTATTATACAAACTGTACAGAAAGGTTGGGAGGTAGCACGAGATGCAACAAATCTTATTCCAAATCCTGAAACAAGAGGAAAAGTTCAAGGATGGATGGACAATGTAGGAAGAGAAGCAGGAAACTACTATAACAAAGCAAATGACTACTATAACCAAGCAGGGCACTATATGGACCAAGGTGAAAGATTCTTTAACAGAGGATATAACCATGCACAACAATGGGTAAACAATAACCAACCTCAACCGCCTCAAACGTGGGGAATGTAAAGTTTTTTACTGAGATGAAATGAACAATACAGCATTGAGACAAATGGGTTCAAGATGGATTTGTCGGCTTCCAGCAGTTACACAACCACGTGTTTGTCAAGTTCTTCCTATACCTCAGGAAGTTTTAGACCGACTTAAAAAACCTAAACAACCAGTTGAAAACAAACCAAACTAAAATTTTTTACTGAGATGAAATGACCGAAGAAGTTGAAACGGTAGATTTGACACCACAAACAAAAAGTTCAGAACCATTGTCAAAACCTGTCAAAGAACTTACAGATGAAGAGAAAAATTCAATAATAGAAAGTGCCAGGTCTGGAAATACAAACCCTAACTATAAAGTCACTTTTCATAGAAATGGAACGGCTAGTATCTCAAAAAAGAAACAGACTCTCACAAATAAAATATTGAAGTCTGAAGGAGTTAAAGAGACAACAGATGGGAAGGTATTCTTCACTGACCAACAGTTCATTATAGAACATCTCATTGACTTAGAGTCGAAATATTCTAAACTTTACAACAAACACAAAAAGTTGAAAGGAAAACAAAAACAAATGGCATATGATATTTATGAAGATGTTGACGACACAACCATACCTGCAAGTGAGGTAAAGTCAGAGGAACCGAAAAGTGACGAAAAACCGATAGAAGAAGGTGAGCCAAAAACTGAAGATAAACCAAAACCAAAGTTTAGTCAACCTTCATTAGCTGGTATGGGTTGGCGTCAAAGGCTTCTGGTAGCTGGTGGTTACGTAAAGTAAAGAAAAAAATATTTTTTTTATTTTTATAAAAATGCCCCCGCATAGAATGGATAGAAAGTCTGCTAGAATAAAAGCAGAGTTAGAAAGATATGGTTGGAGAGTTTCGAAGAATTTTAAATATAGGAAGGGAAGACCCATAAAAGTCTATGACAAACTGGCTGGTCTTCGCTACGAAATGGACCTAGAAACAGCGCGCGCCAACTATCCAAACAGACTGGAGAGGTTAGAAGAAGAACGTCTTATGGACATGCCTTTCAATGTTACTGAGCCTCAAGTTGAAGGACACGACGGCTTTGCCAGATTCTACTGGAAACATGACGAACAATTGCATCCTTTGAGAAGGAAAAAAGGAAAAGGTGAAGACAAACATGCTCCCATGGAAAGAACAAGATATGCATATGAAAAGTACCGTGAAGTTAGAAGTCAAATTACATCTGGTCGAACCTTTACAGTAAACTTTGACGAAGGAAAGAACAAAGAAGGCTTTATGGGAGTACTTGCTGCCATACAAGACGGAAATAAGAAAGGACACAATCTCAGACTAACAGTAAAAGATTTGGACGGTCATATATACTACTCACATGGCAATGTCACAACAGCTGCAATGCTTCTTGACGCTTTCAAGACTACAAAGAGAGAACAAATGTTTGACTCCGACTCAGACATTTTGAATGCAATTGAAGGAATTGTAAGTGTAAAGTTCGAATGGTACCAACCTAACCCTCAAGCAGTCAGACAACATGTTTGTTAGATGAGAAATATGAAATGGCATACTATTTTAAAACAGTATATTTTTACATATATTAAATGCTTCAGGTTGAAAAACAAAGAACAAAAGCAGCAGATACAAAACCGTTAGACTATATCTTTACAAACGCCGGTATGACTATTTCAGATGAAGAAATTTCATCCCGAACCACCTAGTAACAGTTTCTCTGACTTTCAAGTTTGGTTCACAACAAATGGTGTGCAACATATTGTTCCATTGTACTACGACTTTTATCTCGAATTGTCTTTCATATATAACTACGGAGAAGTGCTGAAAAAGTATTGAAAAATATATTTTAGGGTAGAAGGGTATATCTACCCCGTTTTCTACCCTCTTTTCTACCCTCATGAATTTTCATGAATTTCCTTAAGATAGAAAAAAAGTGAGTTAAAATGAGATTTTTATCGTTGTGGTCCGACGGTTAAGCCACAAACGAATGTCCGACGGTTAAGCCAAAAATATTTTTTATTTTTATTGTAAGAACAGTATGACAGTCGAAGCAAAAACGTTCACGAACAAATCTAATGGCGAAACATTCACAAAAGGCACTTACAACGGTATTGAAGTCTTACGTAGAGACAAGGATGGTTATATAAATGCAACAAAGATGTGTCAGCAGTTTAGGAAAGACTTTTAGAAGGTTGTTGGAAAATAAGTCCTGGGAAGAGTATTTTGAGGCATTTTGTGAAGAATATACCAACCGCGAATTCCGCGGGTTGCTTTTTTACACAGTTCATGCAGGAATTCCCGATGAAATCAAACAGGTTAGAGGAACGTATGTAGACCCAAGACTTGTAAACTATATAGCAATGTGGCTTCTCCAAAATATTGTATAGCAGTTGGAAAAATTTTGGACTCCATAGACAAGAAAGTTCATGAGAAATTAGATGAAGAAGAACTTGAAGATACAGTAGAGAATGCTAAACCTTTGTTCGAAGAAGAAGTTAGAAAAATGCATGAAAAACAAATAGAACATGAACGTGAGATATGTTCTGGTTATAGGGACTCTCCATACGAACTAGACCAATGGGAACAAGAAGATTTAAAGAGAGAATTTAGAGAATATGAACTCGCTAAAATTTCATTAGAAGCTGCAGAAAAGAAGTTAAAAGTTTGGGGTCGTTTTGTACAAAAATATTGTGAGTAAATGAACCATTTTTTTTCGACAAAAATATATTTTAGGGTAGAAGGGTATATCTACCCCGTTTTCTACCCTCTTTTCTACCCTCGTAGAAAACACACAAAACTCTTGAATTTTGTATAAAAAAAGCAACCCGCCGTTTTCCGCGGGTTGGTATATTCTTCACAAAATGCTTGTTTTGAGGTCGAGCCATTTTTGGCTCCACCGTATTTTTAAACCAAACTCGTTCATTTTGTGCTGAAATAAAATAAAGGTAGTCCCACCAAAAAATATTTTTTTATTTTTATTGTAAGAACATGTCAGCAACAACAGCACCAAACTCGTTAGTCATGAACCCAACTTCTATGTTAGTAGAGATGAAAAGCTTCATTCCTTCTTCATATACTTTCGAAACAGAAATCCAGAAGATAAAGCAGGAACTTCTCCAAGGAGATTTAGACTGTAGTGCAAAAGATGAAACAAATGAACAGTATCTTTATGAAATGCAGGATATTATTGACCATCTACCTAAACTTCCTGAAATACAACAACAAAAGCTCACTATTCCAGAATTCGATGAAATTGAAGTCAGACTGACTGACTCAGTTGAAATAAAGAAGTTCATTCGTAAGATAAACTATGAGTTTCTTGGATTTCATTGCAACCACAAAGTCATTGACATATATAAATCTGAAGAATTTAAGACCTACGACAACTTTGTTTCGTTAGTTGCTGAGTGTGTCTTGCAGATAAGAGATAAAGATAGAAGAGGTAAGATATGGAATGAACAGATAAAACCCGCAACTTTTGAGTTAAAGAAAACCATCTACGCCTTAGTCATACTAGCAGGACAAATTTCAGAATATAACGCAAAAATGAACTCACAATGTTCAAAATGTAAAGCAGCAACAAGGAAATATAACTACTCCGTCAAAGAGATAGAACGTATGCGAAAAGACCATACTGACTTAAAGAAAGAAGTAGAGAAACCAGCAGAAGATAAAATGGACATGTTGACATTTCTGAACAAAAACTATCCAACTGCTAACGATTTCCTTCTTTCAGATGTCAAGAAGAAATATAAAGAAACCTTCGGCATAGTTAAAATTTTTGATATCCTTCGTGAAGAAATAGAAGCTACAAAACTGTTTAAAGTCATGAACCATCACAACATATACCATGTAAAACGCTTGTAAAATAACTGGGGTAGAAATGAGGGTAGAAAACGGGGTAGATATACCCTTCTACCCTAAAATATATTTTTATTGAATTCTGTATAAAATTCTGAGTAAAATGACATATGGAACACATACTTTTTCAGTAAGGACATATGGGGTAGAAATGAGGGTAGAAAACGGGGTAGATATACCCTTCTACCCTAAAATATATTTTTATTGAATTCAGCAACAAATTTCATGAATTTCCTCATATGTTTGCTACCCTCGGAAAACCGAGGATAGAGATTCCATTCGAAAATCGTAAAAAATTGCGACCCGCGGAAAACCGAGGAACGCCTAAAACACATGAAAATCGTAAAAAAATGACCAAATTTCATGATATAACTGTATCTTTTATACAAAATAAAATAAAAGCTAGTTTTTTTAAAATATTTTTTTTTATTTTGTATGTAAGAACAGGAAATGTCAAACACTGAGTTTGAAACAGTTAAAAAGATAGACAATGAGACCAAGGTGGTTAGAATAGGTGATTTAAACGTAAGATACTCAAAGAAATACAAAAAATATTCTTTGTCAGACATTTTAACACTATCTGAAGGAAAGAAAGCACACGACTGGGTTAAAAATGCTTCTACTCAGAAAATTTTGACAAAAAATCCTGAGCTTATGATATCGGTAAGATTCTATGGAACAAGAGCATATCTCATCGACAAAAGTCTTATACCAGTAGTTTTGTTCTGGATTGACCCAGTTGTTGGATATAATTTCATAACATATGGTTCATTCGATACGGAACGTTGCAGTGAAGGCTTACTTTACATCGTTCAGAAACCAAAGGACTTCAATACAAAGAGATATAAGATAGGAAGAACATTTAATATAACTCAAAGATATGACAATATAGTCAATAGAGTTAAGGTTGCGTTCGTTAACGATATGAGAGCTGCTGAAACAGAACTACTTGAAAAGTTTGAGAAGATGTATGGTGCTCCCACGAAAGGTAGGGAAACGTTTGAAGTAGATGAGATAGATAAAGCTATAAAATTATTTGACGAAGTTGCTGAAAAATACATGTAAAGCGTTTATTTTTGGTCTTTTATACAAGATAGAAAATAACGCTAATTTTATTTTTTTTTATTTTTTTATTTTGTATGTAAAGACAGTAATGTCAACAACAGAGAACACAACAACAGTTATAGTCCATGAAGCTATAAATGAAGAATACGAGTACATACAGTATAACAAACAGTTACGTCTCATTCGTTCGGTCAAAGACGATATGTACCAAATGCAAAGTATTTTGACAGCATGTTTTGCGCCAGATACCAAGCTTCCTAAAGACTGGTTTAGGAACCAAAGCACTATTGAACTATTAAATGAAGCTGAAAATTCGACTACGGATTTTCTCGTAGTCGCAAAAACTCGAGTGGGAGAAAAACCCCAGTCGCCAAAACTCTATGAAAACAGTGAAGAACAGCGAGTGGGAGAAAAACCGCAGTCGCCAAAACTCTATGAAAATCGTGAAAAATTGCCAAATGGTTTGAGAGGATATTATGTTCATAGACTTCTTGTAAATGCTGTTGCAATGTGGGCTTCACCTCGTTATGCTTGGTATATTTACAGACTTCTTGACGAAATTCATAGACAAGAACGTGAAGAGATGGAAAAGAAACTTCAAGCAAAAGATGAAGTCATTGAAGCAAAAGACAAAACCATACAGAAAAGAATACCACGTTCGGTACCAAAAGGAAAGGAAAAGAACTATAAGTATATGATTTATACTGAAGAGATGGAAAATGAAGAAGACAGAGATATGGTTATGTTGCATTTAGTCAGAAGAAACAACAAAAGCTTTTACGACCTTGCTAAGATTTACAAATCTGACAGAAATTGGTTCTATCGCGAAAACTTACCGATTTCAATGACACCGAATGAAGATGTTAAACAGATAGTTCAAGATACGTTACCTCAAACACACTATGATATGAAAGGTTGTACAATACTTACCTTCAAAGAAGATTTGCCATTGTTAAAGGAAAAAATAACAGAGTATTTCGACAACTTCAAACAAGTAGGGTAAATTTCAATCTTTATTTTTACGCTTGACCTTTACATTCTGCCTGAGGAAGTCTTTAACAAGCTCGTTAATTTCAATTAGATAAATTGCTTCGTCTAAGGGGTCAAGCTCCATACTGAGTCAGTACAATGTTGTACTTTTTCAAGACAATATTGTACTTTTTCAAGACAATGTTGTACTTTTTCAAGACAATGTTGTATAAATTCAGTACAATATTGTACTTTTTCAGAACAATGTTGTATAAATTCAGTACAATGTCTCTCAAATTTGAGTACGGCTGTACTTTTTCAGAACAAGTCTTGTACTTTTTCAAGACAATGTTGTACTTTTTCAAGACAATATTGTACTTTTTCAAGACAATGTTGTACTTTTTCAAGACAATGTTGTACTTTTTCAAGACAATGTTGTATAAATTCAGTACAATATTGTACTTTTTCAGAACAATGTTGTATAAATTCAGTACAATGTCTCTCAAATTTGAGTACAGCTGTACTTTTTCAGAACAAGTCTTGAACTTTTTCAGAACAATGTTGTACTTTTTCAGAACAATGTTGTACTTTTTCAAGACAATGTTGTACTTTTTCAAGACAATGTTGTACTTTTTCAAGACAATGTTGTACTTTTTCAAGACAATGTTGTACTTTTTCAAGACAATGTTGTATAAATTCAGTACAATATTGTACTTTTTCAGAACAATGTCTCTCAAATTTGAGTACGGCTGTCCTTTTTCAGAACAAGTCTTGAACTTTTTCAGAACAATGTTGTACTTTTTCAAGACAATGTTGTACTTTTTCAAGACAATGTTGTACTTTTTCAAGACAATGTTGTACTTTTTCAAGACAATGTTGTATAAATTCAGTACAATATTGTACTTTTTCAGAACAATGTTGTATAAATTCAGTACAATGTCTCTCAAATTTGAGTACAGCTGTACTTTTTCAGAACAAGTCTTGAACTTTTTCAGAACAATGTTGTACTTTTTCAGAACAATGTTGTACTTTTTCAAGACAATGTTGTACTTTTTCAAGACAATGTTGTACTTTTTCAAGACAATGTTGTACTTTTTCAAGACAATATTATATTGTTTCAGAACAAAGACGGTTAAGACACAAACGAATGTCCGACGTTCCTCTTCCTGAATGTCTTCCAAAGCCAGAAGAACCGACAGCCCCAGCACCACAACAGACTAAGACTCAAACTTTACATTTTTCAAGCTTGACTTTTTACAATTTGAACTTTGTTCGCGTAGATGTGAATTCTGAAAGAAGTATGAGGGTCTTGTATGACTTTGTACTTCTCCCATAGTTCATGTCTGTCAAACTTACCTGCCATGGACTCTTTCATAAGTTCCATGAAATCGTCTTCGGACAATCCAGGGAAAAGTATGATATCAGTAAGTATTCTCTTTACATCCTTACTTAAACTCTTGGCTGTCTGTACACAAATGACAACTGAAATGTTAAAGTGTCTGAGCTTCTTAAGAATTCGACACATGTCTTGTTCTCTGTTCTTTAACAAAGGATGAGAAGCAAAGTCATCTAAGATAAGAAGACATCTATGAGGGTAAGTCTTCCAATCGTACGATTGCAATTTCTTCGAAATGTATTCTATCTCTTTCTGTTTGTTTCTGAAGTGTTTCTTCTCTAATATTCTCTGCATTTCCTCATTTGGGTCTTTAAACTTCGAATTTATATACTCATTTATAGCATTGTACTTCAAAACTCTTCTTTGGTACTTCTTTATCCAATCTAACAACTCAGAGTCTTTTATACATACTAACTTAGACTTTTTTATAATATCTTTGAACGAATTGACGGTTTGGTCAAATTGACCAGAAGTACTACAAATGACTACTAACTCATAGAATGGGTTCTTCTCATCTAGTTCTTGTTGTTGTGCAGCCATTTTAAGATAAGTGAAAGTCTTACCCGACCCAGGTGGTGCGATTAGACCTGTTATACCATTCTGAGCAAATAAGAACTTGTCATGTATAGGCTTTATCTGAGCATTTTCTAACTTCCTCTTGTTCTTGTTTAAAACATTCTCAAATTTCTTGTCAATGTCAGCAAACTTTTTTTCTAACATATTTTTAGAAAAATTAAAATTTTTATCTTTTAGAAAATGTCTAGCGATTTCGCTATCTATATTCGAGACAAGCTTTTCGACAGCAAAACATCTGTCGACCATAAAATCTTACATAGTGTAAACAAGAAAGGTGAATTTGTTCTAAAGTTCTGTTTCTGGGAATATGACAAGAACCATAAAACATTAGGCAGAGAAGTCTTTAAGTTTGTCAATGACAGACTTGTTGACAGAGATGACGCCGATTGGAAAGATGAAGTCCAACAAAAGTTCTTAGAATGCAAAGAAGGCACATGCGCTGTTCTTGAAGATGAAATAGAAAACAGAATAGAAGAGCTATTAAAGGACAAAGAACTTTTACAAAAATATGGTTCTGAGAAGTTTGACATAACCCCACCAGAAAAGAAGAAGAAGAGAGAAAAGAAAGAAAAGAAAGTAGAAGAAGAGAAGAAAGAACCTGAACCAGTTCCAGAGAAGAAGAAATTTGACATGTAAAAATAAAATTTTATTTTTAGAACATTTCTGGGTCAATGTCAATGTTCTCTTCCTCTTTAGGAGCAAACACTGGCTTAGACTCTAAAATCTTTTTACCTAATTTACCTTGAACTTCAACTATCTTAGACTCATAATATTCATAGTCGTCTGCTTTCTTTGGTTCATAAGGTATAACAAGTTTGTATGCTTTGCCTTCTTTAAGGTTTGAAAACCTTCTGTCAAAATTTTCTTTGACTGCTAACAAACCTTCTATGTCTAAGTCTTCAAATTTCGCACCATTTTTAGTCACAATAGCAAACTTAACGGGTTCGATGTTCCAAACTTTGTCAAATGTAGACTTTTCAAAATGGTAGAAGTAAACATTCAAATAAGCGAATGGGTCTAGTTCTTCTTTGACTTCTGTCATGTACTTATTTACTGAAATATATTTCGTCATCTTTTCTATCGGATAAAAAAATATTTTTTTAAAATTTACTCATAAAAATTTTCTTTGTATATACACCATTCTGAACATCTAAAAGATTTTTGACATTTGCCAAGAATGTTCGTTTAGACGCTGTCATATAACCATACTCTTGACAATATTGTTTATATTCATCGTACAACGACCTTTCATCTAAACACTCAAAGTTAGTCTCATCTATAAACAGTTCATATACACTCTTGTTTGCTTCTAACAATGTTTGTCTTTCTTCGGTATGTGGAATTTGTCTTGGATTGAACTTAGAAATATCTAATGTCATGAAATATGAGAACAAGTGGTTGTAAAAGTTAGGTGTCAAAGTTTCTGCTAAGTCGTCAAAATATTCTGTATCTTGCATATGAGAATCTGACGTTCTGACAACTACATATCTTCTGTCAGAACTTTCTAACTTCATCGGAACAGCGTTGTTTGAAACCATGACGAAGTTTGCAACATTTTCACAAACTCTTTGGTCTTTATATTTTCTTTCAACAACTCCAACTTTGTCTGTTATAAGACTCTTCAAAGCATCTGAGTTCAAAACTTTTGTTGTATCTATACTTTGAAGTTCGTTACATACTATAAGTTTCATATTCTCTATTGAAGAGTTAAATTTACCGCAGATGTTTTCTAAGTTTGTCATATTAGGGTTCGAATAGCCCTCTAATAGTTTGCATAAGATATCTGTAAAGAAAGTGTTCTTACCAGTTCCTTGTTTTCCAATTATAATGAGAGCAGTTTCATTTTTAGCACTTGGATGTTGTAAGATGTTTGCAAACCAACATAAGATATACTCATAGACTCTTTCGTTTCCATTGCATATAATTTCTTTGACATGGTCTAACCAAGCTTCTATAACATTTTCTTTCCATTCTACTTGTTCGTATTTATATCCAGTGAAGATAGAATAGAAGTTTGGAGAAGGTGTATAAAACTTTATACCACGAACTGAAAAATCTTCTAACTTCGACAATAAGATATCCCAAGCATCTAACATCTTCATACCAACCTGTACGACTTTTATTTTCTTAAGTTTCTGTCTACATTCTTGTTCTGAAACTATGGTTGCTCTTGGTTTGTTAAAGACAACATCCCATTCTTTCATGACATAACATTCTGGGGCAGAGTCAACATAAATGACTAAACGTTTCAAATTCTCGACTGCTTTGTTATAGTCTCGAAATGGACACATATTTCTGAACGCTTGGAAGTCATAAAAATCTGAAACGTCTATTCTGTACATTTTTTTATAAAAATAAAAAAAAATATTTTTTTTATTCTTGAGCTATTTGTTGTTCTTGAGCTATTTGTTGCATTTGTTGTTCTTGAGCTATTTGTTGTTGAAGTTGTTCTTGTAGTACAATACTTTCACCAGTTGCATCTTCCAATTCGAAACTTTCTGCCGTCATTGACAAATACATAGGACATAAAAGTTTTACAGGAACAAAGTTTGCGTCGACTAAGGTTAAGTTTATGTTTGCTAAAGTGTTTGAGTTTACTAAAGCTGAAAACTCTGCATTCGAATGAACAATAGGCAAACCAGCAGAGAAAGTGTTGTTTATACGCATGAGTATTTTTTGGTCATAGTAGTTTCTGTCGATATTCGAATAGCACTTTGAACCTAAGTTTGAAACAATATATAAAATAGGTGTACTTAAAGTCAATGGAACAGACAAACCTTGTATGACACCTTTTCCTGTTATAGGAAACTGTTGGTAGTAAAAACCAGATATAAGTTTTGTATTATAGCTCATATCGTTTATACTAAACTCAGTCGGACATCCAAACATAATGAAACCTGCTCTAGTTGCAGCACATGTTACATCCGTCCTTAAAGTATTAAATAAGTCAACAAAACCTGTTGGTGGTATATCTGAGTAAGTATCTTCAAAGAAGTATTTTTTACCATTCACAACAATAAAATCTTCTGGTGTCAAAAGAGCAAAACAGGCTTTAGTCGTCATCGTGTTTAAGGTTAGTTTACAATATCGTCCTTGAGGACTTTGTAAGTTTGTTGTTATAGAATTATATGACTCAGGGTTTTTAGTCGTAATAGTATAAACCACTATGTCTTCTGCCATTTACTTAGCAACTAAATTTTAATGAAATGTTGTGGTCGTCAAATATTTTTATGACGTCTGGGAAACTATATTTTAAGTTCAACGTTTCACCTCCTTTCATAACGTATATCTTGTCAATGACATTATATGAAACACCACAGCAACTAACGTCGGGTTCTATTTCTTTGATGTTTATATCGTCTGCCTCTGTCAAAAGTTTCAATAGTTCTTTCAAAACTTCATGAGGTGCAATGACATATGAGTTCACTTTTACAGGGTTGTGTTCGACCAAGTTTAACATTATACCCAAAGCCTGACAAATCTTCTCCTGAGTTTTAAGTTTGTCTTTAAGTTGTTGGTAGTCGTTTCGAATATCTGCAACAGAACTTAAGTCTCTGCTAACTTCAGGGTATGTTGGTTGTTCTTTTACAGGAACAATTGTTATACCATCTTCGTCTTCGTATGGTTTCTCCACTTCAACATCTCTTTCTTTGACATTGACAACAACACTTTGACTGTTTGTTTGAGTTGGTGAATTTAACTTCACATCTGCCATCGCCATTAAACCTTTTGAAACACTTACGCTTCTATTTTTCGGAAATGACATTTTACTTAGAATAAAAAGATGGACGTATTTGAGTATCTCTTCGAATTGAAGCAAAACAAAGTTTACACACACAAACAATACAAGTTCATTGATAGAATAGTTCTTTATACAAACAATGGAAAATGTTATAGAATAGCAGTCTTTGCTGAACCAAAATATTTTCATAAAGCAAAGAAAGTTGGTATAACTGAAATGGTGAAAGTTCTTGAAGCAGACAAAAATATAACAACAAAACTGACCGATATTTCTAAAGGAAAGTTTTTAATACAATATTATATCAAAACTGGCGTACTGTCAATATTTGACGGAGAGAAGTCAGTTCAAGAACAACTTACTGACCTGCTGCCAAAATCTGCTCGATGGAAGCTGTCGTTATGCCAATCTGAGGAGCCCCAGCAGGTTTCATCGAACGAATCTTCAAAAGAGCATCTTCCGTGAAAAGTGCTATTGGTTTTGTAAACTTCTTTGCTTTCAATTCATTTGGACCGTCTCTGTCACCAGTATATTGTATTTGAACTGTACCAACAGTTGAAATACCACCCATAAAGTCTTCTGAGTCAGCAAATGGAATGCCAAGCCAAAAGTTTGAACGGTCTCCATTTGTATATTGAGTTTTTTGACCTCCTGTATGAGTCCATACTTTCACATATGGCATAATAGAACTTTGCATTTCAGGGTTAATGGTTGTTGTGAAGTTGTTGTTAAAGTTCATAGCATCTAATGTCAAGTTGTATGACCTCATATCCTCAACTGTAGAATATTCTTCTCTTGGATAATATTTGCCATCTATGTTTATATGGTATTTAATACCAGGGTTGTAGAAGCAAGAATAGTCATTTATAGTTCGTCTGAACAGTACAAACATAGTATCTGCATGTTTCATTGCAGTTGTTAAGGCAATATCTGTTCTTGCACCTGGGTCAGCACTTTGGTTTCCAACTTCACCTGCAAAGTCTTTGACAGATATTTGGTGTATAGGGAACATAAGTGGAACTGCAATATATTTGGCAGCTAAAGCATTTGAAATATCTGGGTCCAACATATAGACTGCAAGTCTGCTTTCTATTCTCTTGCATTCAAATTTTTCGCATGTGAACTTAACTGGGTCCCAAGCATCTCCAGCAGCATTGAAATAATAGTTTACTTCAGTGTTGAGGTTTGAGAAACCAAAGTCTAAGTCAACTTTGTTTTTGCAAAAGTCGGCGAATGACATTTTATTTGTTCCCACTACTTCTGTAAGAGTGAATGGGTCTTGTGTTGGTGCAATGACTAAGTTATTTTTGCTTGGAGTAAGTTCGATAGAAATTTTTCCTGCCCAGTTTGGCAAGTATCTTAAAAACCTGAAGATGAGGAAAGATGACAAAGGAACTCTAAGTTTCAATTTTACTTTGGTTACTGCTGCTGCATTTTGTCCAGAAAGGTCAACATAAACTCCTGGAACGTTAGGGTCAAGTCTTCTTATTTTCTCAATAGTTGCATACTGGTCTGTTTGTTCTCTAGCTTGTGGTTGTACTGAGTTTCTCAAAGCGAACCATTCATAGTTTGCCCATGTTACTGTTTGAACTAAGTCAGAGTTAGAATATATCTTATATCCCATGAAAACTTCTGGAGCATATTGGTATCCGACATAGAAAATTCCATTGCAACCTTTCTTGTCAGACAACTTGGCAGAAGGTTTTATTTCAATGTCTTGTTCCACGTATAAGAAAGAGTTGTCAATAGAAATAATATGAAACCTGTCGCAAGCAATATCTACTGTTGTTGAAGAACCTTCTCCAAACTCACCTACGTTTCCATAAGAAACAGCAGTTGTATATTCGTAAGTTCCAGGAACTATTTCTGACCTTCTAATGGCATTGTCGCATTCGTTATACCATTCGGAAACATTTCCATTCATAGCATCCAAAACTGTTGGCGTTATATTCTGAGCGGCGTACATTTCATATGAGTAAAAATATAGAATAGTTGGATTTATATGTCATAATAGAACCCACTCCGACCAAGCTTTACTTTCTTCCTGACTGAGTTTTTAACTCTTCTTTTTCCTTCATTGCCCTCTGCTTGAAGTTGTTGCATCTTTGCATTATGTTCATCTAGTATGTTGCAAATTTCCCATGTCCTTTTTGCCTTTGGGCTCTGGTCGCCCATCTCAGGTAACCTATATCCTAGAAAGATTTTGTCATAGTTTGTATTTGAGTCTTCGCGTATTGTTTGCATGACTCTTTCCTGAGTTTCTGGTTCAAGCTCTTCAAACAGTGCTTGTCCATATGGAATAAGCTCGTTTCCAAATATATGTTTTTGTAGCCATTCTGGTTTTCTTTCCATGTTACCAACTATATCTTTTGTGAATGGGAAAGCTTTTACCCAATCTTTCAGTCTTGCGTCGTTTATTTCTGTAGTTGGTTTTATTTTGTCAAGGAACATGTTTTTCAATACTAACATTTCATTTGGTACTGTCCATTTGAGTTTTCTTAAATATTCATCCCTTCTCGATTCATCGCCTGCAAAGTAAGTTTTTATGACATTTTGTAAACTTTCGTTTGCAAGGTCATGTACAATAGGTTCTCTTCCTTCGCTCTCCCTAACTTTCTTTCTAAACTCTTCACCAAATATACCATCTCTATGGTTCTGTGTAGTTCTTTGAGATAAATGTTCTAGAACGTCAGGTGTTATATTTCCATCAGCCATGTTCATTTCATACTGGTCCAAAATATCTGCATGTTTCATATCTTTCAATGGCATTAAAGCCGCGCTTAAAATACCAGCTATGTCTCGTTCACCATTGACTTCCATTGCGTCTACAACTTCTTGGAATTGAGGTTGTAAGTTTATGAACCACCTATCCGGATTAGCTTTATGACCCCATCTCATTGTAGTTCCATCGTCTGCAGAAACAAAAGTAGGTTTGTTTCCATCTTGGTTAGGTTCTGAATGAACTTTAAACAATGTTTCATTTCTATATGTTTTCTTGAAATTTAACCTTTTATCTTCACCGAGTTCATCCGAAGATTGAACGTTAAATGCTCGTAAGTAAAAAGGGTTGTTGTATTTGTGTACATTTTTTTTCAGTTCTTCCATTCTATGCTGGATATTTTCATCTGATGTTGGAGTCTTTTGTATGTCGGCAAACATTTTTCGATATTCTTCTACTATGTCAGCCGAATTTTTTTTAGACTCTTGGAAATATTCCATATTCTCCGCATACTCTTGTTGAGGGTCAAGAATTTTCGGCTGTTCCAAATCTTCATCTAGTTCTGTGAAGTTAGTTTCCAAAGGAGTGACTTGTTCGTTTCCTTCAGGCTCTTCTAGCTGTTGTTGCTGAACTATTTCTTCCATGTCTGGTTGTATCTGAACTTCTTCCTGTGGAGTTTCTTGTACCTCATCTGCTGGCATTTCATATATTCCGAGACCGTTTTCAACAATTTCCCTATCTACGTCATCCGCATTCATAAGCTTTTGTTCTTTCGTTCCGTCTCTATTTTTTACGCGTTTCATGACGAAAGTTGAATTGTCATTTAGCTCTGACATCAAATATCTCGGAGTAAATTCATCCATGTCATTTGGATGATATGCTATTAAATCATATCCCTTTGCGAGCTTGTATTTTCCAGGTTTGAATTATATCCATTTGGTGCTGAGCCATAAAGCTAAATAGGTTCGGGTCAGTATTTCCATCCTTGAACTTTCCAATAGCTTCTTTATATCTGTCACTAAAGTCAATAGTATCTGGGAAACCACACTCTTCTTTAAGCCTTTTTAAGAATTCTTGGTTTCCTTGTTCTCTACTTCTTTTATGTCCTTGCTCTGTTTGTGGTTGTTGTTGTTGTGCAGGGTTTTGAACTGTTGGTTGTGGTTGTTGTTGTGCAGTTTTGAACTGTGGTTGTTGTGTTGTTGTTGTGTGGTTGTTGTGTTGGTTTTGGTGCATGCCTATGTCTGTGTCCATGTGACGATGTAAATGTTTTAGGTAGTCCTGGTGCAGGTGCTTCTCTTGGAGGGTTTGGTGGTATATAAATTCCAACAGCTGGTATATAAGTTCCACCAGCTGGCACATATGTTCCATCTGCAGCGTAATGTCCTACCTGACTTTTCGTTCTTAAGAAAGCATTTACTAGGTCTGTTTTGGTCTGTTGTAACTCTTTTCTTGACTTTCCACAACAGTTGCTCTAACGGCGTCATAGGCACTTTGAACTGCCTGTCTCGTTGCTGCATCTGTTATTTTCGTCATATTTTGTGCTACTTCTCTTAACTCTTTGTCGAAACCTTCAGACTTCAGTTTCTTTCCAGATGAGAAGTCGTTCACTTGTTTCACCTTACTATGAAGAGCTTCGAAAGCGTTCTTAAAGTCAGCATTTGTTAAAGCTTCATTTGAACTATCTTCATCCGCTTGTATTTTTGTCCTTATTGACCCTATGAGTTGGGCTGCTTTAGCGTTGGCTTGGGCATCTAACCAGTCATTGTTAGCTTTTATATATTCTGCGCTTTTCATTGCCTTTTGCATAGCCGCGTCGTTATTTTTACTTTTTGTGCTAAGTTTTCATACTGTACGGTTTGGTTTTGCAACTGTAAAAGTTTTTCTGCCTTTACATTTGCTTCAACTTCTTTTTTATACTCATCGCTATCCATATATGTCTTCAGGGCTTTTTGTTTTATCTCTTCATCTTTCAGTACTTTATATCGAGTAGTATGGTTTTTCAAATTTACAACATCTTGTTCCATTTTTGCTACTTCTGCTGCTTTTTCTGACACTTTTTTCGCATATTCCTCTGTACTTAGTTCTTTCAGTTGTTCTTCTTTCTTCTTTTTCTCTACGTTTAACTCATTGAGTTTCTTTGTGTGTCTGTCATATTCTAGTTTCTTTTCGTTTTCACTTATTTGCTTCTGTATGTCTATGTTTGACTTTTTGACATCTGTTATTTGATTTTTGAGTGAACTCAAATTCATTTGACTTTGAGGGTTATATGCTGTTCCGTCTGCAGCTCCACCATAGCCTGCCATTTTCGCTAAAAAGTGCCGCTCTTAAACCTCCACTCTGTGCACCAACAACTCGGTTTAAAAGCATAGGATTGCTTGACATTTGTTGCAACATAGTGGGGTCATTCAGCATTTGTTGTTGCAACTGTTGTTGTGGTGTCAGTCTTACTATTGGATGTTTCAATGCTCCCTTCCTCTTACGTATATTCTTACGTAGCTTACGTGGCATTTTAAGTGAAGTTAAAAAGCGGTTTTTGACAGATGTTTTATTGTGACTTCTTCGTAAAGACTTTGTTGAGACTTCTTCGTAAATGAGTGTAAATGACCCAAAAATATATTTTAGGGTAGAAGGGTATATCTACCCCGTTTTCTACCCTCTTTTCTACCCTCTTGAATTTTCATGAATTTCTTCGTAAAGACTTTGTCAAGACTTCTTCATAAAGACTTTGTTAAGACTTCTTCATAAATGTTTTGTTGAGACTTCTTCGTAAAGACTTTGTCAAGACTTCTTCGTAAAGACTTTGTTGAGATTTCTTCGTAAATGACCCTAGTAGTATATTTTGGTGTAAATTTCATGAAAATTCAAGAGGGTAGAAAAGAGGGTAGAAAACGGGTAGATATACCCTTCTACCCTAAAATATATTTTTGGGTCATTTACACTCATGAACTTTCTTGTCTATGTTTTGTTAAGACTTCTTCGTAAAGACTTTGTTGAGACTTCTTCGTAAGACTTTGTTGAGATTTCTTCGTAAAGACTTTGTCAAGACTTCATCGTAAAGACTTTGTTGAGATTTCTTCGTAAATGACCCTAGTAGTATATTTTTGGTGTAAATTTCATGAAAATTCAAGAGGGTAGAAAAGAGGGTAGAAAACGGGGTAGATATACCCTTCTACCCTAAAATATATTTTTGGGTCATTTACACTCATGAACTTTCTTGTCTATGTTTTGTTAAGACTTCTTCGTAAGACTTTGTTGAGACTTCTTCGTAAAGACTTTGTTGAGATTTCTTCGTAAAGACTTTGTTGAGATTTCTTCATAAAGACTTTGTCAAGACTTCATCGTAAATATTTTGTCAAGACTTCTTCGTAAAGACTTTGTCAAGACTTCTTCGTAAAGACTTTGTCAAGACTTCTTCGTAAAGACTTTGTTGAGATTTCTTCGTAAATGTTTTGTCAAGACTTCTTCGTAAATGTTTTGTCAAGACTTCTTCGTAAAGACTTTGTTGAGATTTCTTCGTAAATGTTTTGTCAAGACTTCATTATACTCATTCATCCTCAGGGCTAGAAGGCACGAAGTGCCTGGAAGCCCCACTACCTTTTTTTTTTTTTTTTTTTTTTTTTTTTTTTTTTTATATCATATTTAAAATAAGAATATACTAGTTTAGGTGGTATAATTTTTTTTCGATAAATTTGAGAGCATGTACGTTTAGGACATCAAAAGTGTCAATTCGCTCAGCGAAAGCTGAGCTAGCTTCGTTCTCGAAAGAATAGGGAAGGAGTGAAAGAGAGTGATACAGATGTTGACACATTCATATCATTTCAACAAATTTTGAATCAAATTGAAATGCAATGAAATTCAATTCACTTCATATCCTTCAGTCAGTACATTGACATCCTTCTACATCACAATGATAACTCGTGCATCAATAGTTCTACAACTAACTCAGAAAAAACAAGATTTTTCCTTCCAGCTTACAGCTTTTAAAAAGTTTCGATGATAAAAATCACTCTACTCTTGTTTATCGATATGTTGTGATAGTAGGTAAACGTATTCTTATCGATATTAATAAAAATATTTTTACGAAAATCTGAACCAATTACAGAGTTATTCATAAAGTTTATGATAACTGTAATTACTTCATCTTTGTTTTATATTTGAATAAACAATTTAATTTAATTTGCATAATTTTTTTTAGTTGAATGACAGGAAACTTAGTTGAGTTGTATTATTTTTATCGTTCAATTCATTGTATATGTGAGTGATCCAGATATTTAATAATTTTAGAAAAATTTATTAATTTGATTAACAAATTTTAATCAAAATAGCAAAAATCTATTTGATAGCTGTAAGCAAATAATAATTTCTATTTCAACCAAAATCACTTATTTTCATCTAAACGTATAAAATTGTCAATTTTATGAGAATAAATTTAAAATCTCATGAAATATAAAGGAGAGTAATATTTTTCAATTTTCTTTTTTTCTTTCTCTCAAATATTTTCTATTGGGAATTTTCTTGTTATCAAAAAATAATTTTAATATTTGTTTATTTCATTACATACAATAAAATTTAAAAAACTCTATTTCTTCACAAGAAAATTTTTTCCTTCATATGAAGAAACATTTTGTTCTCCATTTGATGCTGAGTCTAAATCTCGATTTTTGAATTTTCTTCTTTCCAAATTTCTTTTTTCCAAATTAGAAGTTTAATTCAAATTTTCAATAGTTTATATATTTTCTCAAACCGTCTTAGATTTTCTCACTTTTTAGGGATTTTCTCTCAAAATATACAAAAATAGTAATACCAATACATGTGTCTAATATACTTTAAAACCATCGTGATAAAATTCAAAAACGAAGAGTTCTTCTCTCCAAATTTTTTTCAAAATCAAAAAAATGAGATAAAAAAGCACGTTTGGAAAATTCATTTTTAGCATTTTAGGAATTTTCTCACTTTTCTTCCAAATTGACATCCTTACTCACCACTTTCAAGTTTTTCATACATATATCTTACCCATTCATTTGGAATACGAGGTCTCGAGTTTTCGTTCATTTTTTTTACTTTACAAAACTGTTTATTTTTCAGAATTTTTAAATTTGAAAAAATCCATTCTATATCTGATAAATAATATATTATTTTTCAATCAAAATATTTTGATTATCATCTCAAAAGTGTTCTCAAAACCTAGTTTTTCTTATTTTGGATAATCTTAATACTTCTATTATTATAAACTAATTGAACACCATATGTTTTTGTATACTTTTACAAAAAAATTGATAGATTTGTGATACTTCCCCCGACGATAGAATTGAATAGCTTACATTTTGACAGAACTTAATATGGAACATTGCTAAATGATTTTTAGCATACACCTTTCTTTGTTCATCTTCTAAATACAATTTATTTTTTCTTAGATATAATTCTATTCATTCAATTCGATCGTCATTTTTCAGTACATGATCGTAATTTTCAATTATTGATCGCGATTTTACTTCAGAATTTGTTCGCAATATTGCTTATCAAAATTATATCTCTATTCTCTCATTTCTGTTTAGTCAATATCATTACACTCCTATTGTCTAATAACATGCTATTAATTTTCTTAAAATTAAAAAAAAATATCAACTTTTAAAAACAGAAACTTAACATCCTTAGGTCAATGGATTTTGATGTGAGATACATTTAATCTGTTTTTCTTTTTTTATTTTAAATAATTGAATATTTATAGTTGTTATGGGTCTTACATCATGTAAAACGAATTTTCTTAAAGTAAATTTACTTTTTCTTCCATCTTTCTTACATATTTATTAAAAAATTATCCAAAAAAAGATGTTTTAGAATGAAAAAAAATAGAAAAATCTTCATTTATAGTCTTTCTTGAATGTATGCGTTTTGATTTTTTTCTTTTTTTAAAAATTCAATTTCTAGAAAAATCGAGAAAAAATCATTTTCTTCTATTTTTTAGGACGCCATACCCATTGAAATCTCCTCTCAGGACGCCATAAACTGTTCAATTATGGTGTAAACTTCTCAAAAATTGAATAGTTTACATCAGGACGCCTTAGGACGCCAAACCTTTACGCGCCCGACTTTAATTTGAATTCTTCTCACTTTTTTTTGATTTTAATTTTTCAAAGTTATTTTAAACTTCATTATTTATCCTTGATTCATAGAAGATTTTCGAAATTGATATCTTTTTCTTAAATTATCTCCAGTAATCAATATCTTTTCATTCTTAACAGATTTTCCAAAATAAACATAAATATAAAAACAATAATTCCACAATATTTTTTCCTTTAATTTTGCAAGTCTCATCACACTTTTCAATGCTCGAGTGTTAAAAACTGTTTAAAAATGGAGCTTATATGGAAATAGTGTAGAGATTAAAAATTACCACAGACTATTTCAGAGGATTGAGTGGCACTTGAAACCCCTTACCGTTACGCACACAAAACACCCTTCTTCCACATCTCATCCACTTTCCCAAGGCAACCACCCAACTCATACGCACACAAAACACCCTTCCTTCCACACCCTCTCATCCATCCTTTCCCAAGGCAACCACCCAACTCATACGCACACAAAACACCCTTCCCTTCCACACCCCTCTCATCCCATCCTTTCCCAAGGCAACCACCCAACTCATACGCACACAAACACCCTTCCCTTCCACACCCCTCTCATCCCATCCTTTCCCAAGGCAACCACCCAACTCATACGCACACAAAACACCCTTCCTTCCACACCCTCTCATCCCATCCTTTCCCAAGGCAACCACCCAACTCATACGCACACAAAACACCCTTCCCTTCCACACCCCTCTCATCCCATCCTTTCCCAAGGCAAACACCCAACTCATACGCACACAAAACACCTTCCCTTCCACACCCTCTCATCCCATCCTTTCCCAAGGCAACCACCCAACTCATACGCACACAAAACACCTTCCCTTCCACACCCCTCTCATCCCATCCTTTCCCAAGGCAACCACCCAACTCATACACACACAAAACACCCTTCCCTTCCACACCCCTCTCATCCCATCCTTTTCCAAGGCAACCACCCAACTCATACGCACACAAAACACCCTTCCCTTCCACACCCCTCTCATCCCATCCTTTCCCAAGGCAACCACCCAACTCATACGCACACAAACACCCTTCCCTTCCACACCCCTCTCATCCCATCCTTTCCCAAGGCAACCACCCAACTCATACGCACACAAACACCTTCCCTTCCACACCCCTCTCATCCCATCCTTTCCCAAGGCAACCACCCAACTCATACGCACACAAAACCCTTCCCTTCCACACCCCTCTCATCCCATCCTTTCCCAAGGCAACCACCCAACTCATACGCACACAAAACACCCTTCCCTTCCACACCCTCTCATCCATCCTTTCCCAAGGCAACCACCCAACTCATACGCACACAAAACACCCTTCCCTTCCACACCCCTCATCCCATCCTTTCCCAAGGCAACCACCCAACTCATACGCACACAAAACACCCTTCCCTTCCCACCCTCTCATCCCATCCTTTCCCAAGGCAACCACCCAACTCATACGCACACAAAACACCCTTCCCTTCCACACCCCTCTCATCCCATCCTTTCCCAAGGCAACCACCCAACTCATACGCACACAAAACACCTTCCCTTCCACACCCCTCTCATCCCATCCTTTCCCAAGGCAACCACCCAACTCATACGCACACAAAACACCCTTCCCTTCCACACCCCTCTCATCCCATCCTTTCCCAAGGCAACCACCCAACTCATACGCACACAAAACACCCTTCCCTTCCACACCCCTCTCATCCCTCCTTTCCCAAGGCAACACCCAACTCATACGCACACAAAACACCCTTCCCTTCCACACCCCTCTCATCCCATCCTTTCCCAAGGCAACCACCCAACTCATACGCACACAAACACCCTTCTTCCACACCCCTCTCATCCCATCCCTTTCCCAAGGCAACCACCCAACTCATACGCACACAAAACACCCTTCCTTCCACACCCCTCTCATCCCATTTTCCCAAGGCAACCACCCAACTCATACGCACACAAAACACCCTTCCCTTCCACACCCCTCTCATCCCATCCTTTCCAAGGCAACCACCCAACTCATACGCACACAAAACACCTTCCCTTCCACACCCCTCTCATCCCATCCTTTCCCAAGGCAACCACCCAACTCATACGCACACAAACACCCTTCCCTTCCACACCCCTCTCATCCATCCTTTCCCAAGGCAACCACCCAACTCATACGCACACAAAACACCCTTCCTTCCACACCCTCTCATCCCATCCTTTCCCAAGGCAACCACCCAACTCATACGCACACAAACAACCCTTCCTTCCACACCCTCTCATCCATCCTTTCCCAAGGCAACCACCCACTCATACGCACACAAAAACCCTTCCCTTCCACACCCTCTCATCCCATCCTTTCCCAAGGCAACCACCCACTCATACGCACACAAAACACCCTTCCCTTCCACACCCCTCTCATCCCATCCTTTCCAAGGCAACCACCCAACTCATACGCACACAAAACACCCTTCCCTTCCACACCCCTCTCATCCCATCCTTTCCCAGGCAACCACCAAACTCTCATACGCACACAAAAACCCTTCCCTTCCACACCCCTCTCATCCCATCCTTTCCCAAGGCAACCACCCAACTCATACGCACACAAAAACACCCTTCCCTTCCACACCCCTCTCATCCCATCCTTTCCCAAGGCAACCACCCAACTCATACGCACACAAAACACCCTTCCCTTCCACACCCCTCTCATCCCATCCTTTCCCAAGGCAACCACCCAACTCATACGCACACAAAACACCCTTCCCACACCCTTCCACACCCCTCTCATCCCATCCTTTCCCAAGGCAACCACCCAACTCATACGCACACAAAACACCTTCCCTTCCACACCCTCTCATCCCATCCTTTCCCAAGGCAACCACCCAACTCATACGCACACAAAACACCCTTCCCTTCCACACCCCTCTCATCCCATCCTTTCCCAAGGCAACCACCCAACTCATACGCACACAAAACACCCTTCCCTTCCACACCCCTCTCATCCCATCCTTTCCCAAGGCAACCACCCAACTCATACGCACACAAAACACCCTTCCCTTCCACACCCCTCTCATCCCATCCTTCCCCACACCACCCAACTCATACGCACACAAAACACCCTTCCCTTCCACACCCCTCTCATCCCATCCTTTCCCAAGGCAACCACCCAACTCATACGCACACAAAACACCCTTCCCTTCCACACCCTCTCATCCCATCCTTTCCCAAGGCAACCACCCAACTCATACGCACACAAAACACCCTTCCCTTCCACACCCCTCTCATCCCATCCTTTCCCAAGGCAACACCCAACTCATACGCACACAAAACACCCTTCCCTTCCACACCCCTCTCATCCCATCCTTTCCCAAGGCAACCACCCAACTCATACGCACACAAAACACCCTTCCCTTCCACACCCCTCTCATCCCATCCTTTCCCAAGGCAACCACCCAACTCATACGCACACAAAACACCCTTCCCTTCCACACCCCTCTCATCCCATCCTTTCCCAAGGCAACCACCCAACTCATACGCACACAAAACACCCTTCCCTTCCACACCCCTCTCATCCCATCCTTTCCCAAGGCAACCACCCAACTCATACGCACACAAAACACCCTTCCCTTCCACACCCCTCTCATCCATCCTTTCCCAAGGCAACCACCCAACTCATACGCACACAAAACACCCTTCCCTTCCACACCCCTCTCATCCCATCCTTTCCCAAGGCAACCACCCAACTCATACGCACACAAAACACCCTTCCCTTCCACACCCCTCTCATCCCATCCTTTCCCAAGGCAACCACCCAACTCATACGCACACAAAACACCCTTCCCTTCCACACCCCTCTCATCCCATCCTTTCCCAAGGCAACCACCCAACTCATACGCACACAAAACACCCTTCCCTTCCACACCCCTCTCATCCCATCCTTTCCCAAGGCAACCACCCAACTCATACGCACACAAAACACCCTTCCCTTCCACACCCCTCTCATCCCATCCTTTCCCAAGGCAACCACCCAACTCATACGCACACAAAACACCCTTCCCTTCCACACCCCTCTCATCCCATCCTTTCCCAAGGCAACCACCCAACTCATACGCACAAAAACACCCTTCCCTTCCACACCCCTCTCATCCCATCCTTTCCCAAGGCAACCACCCAACTCATACGCACACAAAACACCCTTCCCTTCCACACCCCTCTCATCCCATCCTTTCCCAAGGCAACCACCCAACTCATACGCACACAAAACACCCTTCCCTTCCACACCCCTCTCATCCCATCCTTTCCCAAGGCAACCACCCAACTCATACGCACACAAAACACCCTTCCCTTCCACACCCCTCTCATCCCATCCTTTCCCAAGGCAACCACCCAACTCATACGCACACAAAACACCCTTCCCTTCCACACCCCTCTCATCCCATCCTTTCCCAAGGCAACCACCCAACTCATACGCACACAAAACACCTTCCCTTCCACACCCCTCTCATCCCATCCTTTCCCAAGGCAACCACCCAACTCATACGCACACAAAACACCCTTCCCTTCCACACCCCTCTCATCCCATCCTTTCCCAAGGCAACCACCCAACTCATACGCACACAAACACCCTTCCCTTCCACACCCCTCTCATCCCATCCTTTCCCAAGGCAACCACCCAACTCATACGCACACAAAACACCCTTCCCTTCCACACCCCTCTCATCCCATCCTTTCCCAAGGCAACCACCCAACTCATACGCACACAAAACACCCTTCCCTTCCACACCCCTCTCATCCCATCCTTTCCCAAGGCAACCACCCAACTCATACGCACACAAAACACCCTTCCCTTCCACACCCCTCTCATCCCATCCTTTCCCAAGGCAACCACCCAACTCATACGCACACAAAACACCCTTCCCTTCCACACCCCTCTCATCCCATCCTTTCCCAAGGCAACCACCCAACTCATACGCACACAAAACACCCTTCCCTTCCACACCCCTCTCATCCCATCCTTTCCCAAGGCAACCACCCAACTCATACGCACACAAAACACCCTTCCCTTCCACACCCTCTCATCCCATCCTTTCCCAAGGCAACCACCCAACTCATACGCACACAAAACACCCTTCCCTTCCACACCCCTCTCATCCCATCCTTTCCCAAGGCAACCACCCAACTCATACGCACACAAAACACCCTTCCCTTCCACACCCCTCTCATCCCATCCTTTCCCAAGGCAACCACCCAACTCATACGCACACAAAACACCCTTCCCTTCCACACCCCTCTCATCCCATCCTTTCCCAAGGCAACCACCCAACTCATACGCACACAAAACACCCTTCCCTTCCACACCCCTCTCATCCCATCCTTTCCCAAGGCAACCACCCAACTCATACGCACACAAAACACCCTTCCCTTCCACACCCCTCTCATCCCATCCTTTCCCAAGGCAACCACCCAACTCATACGCACACAAAACACCCTTCCCTTCCACACCCCTCTCATCCCATCCTTTCCCAAGGCAACCACCCAACTCATACGCACACAAAACACCCTTCCCTTCCACACCCCTCTCATCCCATCCTTTCCCAAGGCAACCACCCAACTCATACGCACACAAAACACCCTTCCCTTCCACACCCCTCTCATCCCATCCTTTCCCAAGGCAACCACCCAACTCATACGCACACAAAACACCCTTCCCTTCCACACCCCTCTCATCCCATCCTTTCCCAAGGCAACCACCCAACTCATACGCACACAAAACACCCTTCCCTTCCACACCCCTCTCATCCCATCCTTTCCCAAGGCAACCACCCAACTCATACGCACACAAAACACCCTTCCCTTCCACACCCCTCTCATCCCATCCTTTCCCAAGGCAACCACCCAACTCATACGCACACAAAACACCCTTCCCTTCCACACCCCTCTCATCCCATCCTTTCCCAAGGCAACCACCCAACTCATACGCACACAAAACACCCTTCCCTTCCACACCCCTCTCATCCCATCCTTTCCCAAGGCAACCACCCAACTCATACGCACACAAAACACCCTTCCCTTCCACACCCCTCTCATCCCATCCTTTCCCAAGGCAACCACCCAACTCATACGCACACAAAACACCCTTCCCTTCCACACCCCTCTCATCCCATCCTTTCCCAAGGCAACCACCCAACTCATACGCACACAAAACACCCTTCCCTTCCACACCCCTCTCATCCCATCCTTTCCCAAGGCAACCACCCAACTCATACGCACACAAAACACCCTTCCCTTCCACACCCCTCTCATCCCATCCTTTCCCAAGGCAACCACCCAAACCCCTCTCATCCCATCCTTTCCCAAGGCAACCACCCAACTCATACGCACACAAAACACCCTTCCCTTCCACACCCCTCTCATCCCATCCTTTCCCAACGCAACCCACCCAACTCATACGCACACAAAACACCTTCCCTTCCACACCCCTCTCATCCCATCCTTTCCCAAGGCAACCACCCAACTCATACGCACACAAAACACCCTTCCCTTCCACACCCCTCTCATCCCATCCTTTCTCACCAACCACCCACACCCCCCTCATCCCATCCTTTCCCAAGGCAACCACCCAACTCATACGCACACAAAACACCCTTCCCTTCCACACCCCTCTCATCCCATCCTTTCCCAAGGCAACCACCCAACTCATACGCACACAAAACACCCTTCCCTTCCACACCCCTCTCATCCCATCCTTTCCCAAGGCAACCACCCAACTCATACGCACACAAAACACCCTTCCCTTCCACACCCCTCTCATCCCATCCTTTCCCAAGGCAACCACCCAACTCATACGCACACAAAACACCCTTCCCTTCCACACCCCTCTCATCCCATCCTTTCCCAAGGCAACCACCCAACTCATACGCACACAAAACACCCTTCCCTTCCACACCCCTCTCATCCCATCCTTTCCCAAGGCAACCACCCAACTCATACGCACACAAAACACCCTTCCCTTCCACACCCCTCTCATCCCATCCTTTCCCAAGGCAACCACCCAACTCATACGCACACAAAAAACCCTTCCCTTCCACACCCCTCTCATCCCATCCTTTCCCAAGGCAACCACCCAACTCATACGCACACAAAACACCCTTCCCTTCCACACCCCTCTCATCCCATCCTTTCCCAAGGCAACCACCCAACTCATACGCACACAAAACACCCTTCCCTTCCACACCCCTCTCATCCCATCCTTTCCCAAGGCAACCACCCAACTCATACGCACACAAAACACCCTTCCCTTCCACACCCTCTCATCCCATCCTTTCCCAAGGCAACCACCCAACTCATACGCACACAAAACACCCTTCCCTTCCACACCCCTCTCATCCCATCCTTTCCCAAGGCAACCACCCAACTCATACGCACACAAAACACCCTTCCCTTCCACACCCCTCTCATCCCATCCTTTCCCAAGGCAACCACCCAACTCATACGCACACAAAACACCCTTCCCTTCCACACCCTCTCATCCCATCCTTTCCCAAGGCAACCACCCAACTCATACGCACACAAAACACCCTTCCCTTCCACACCCCTCTCATCCCATCCTTTCCCAAGGCAACCACCCAACTCATACGCACACAAAACACCCTTCCCTTCCACACCCCTCTCATCCCATCCTTTCCCAAGGCAACCACCCAACTCATACGCACACAAAACACCCTTCCCTTCCACACCCCTCTATCCCATCCTTTCCCAACCACCCAAACCCACTCTCATCCCATCCTTCCCAAGGCACCACAACTCATACGCACACAAAACACCCTTCCCTTCCACACCCTCTCATCCCATCCTTTCCCAAGGCAACCACCAACTCATACGCACACAAACACCCTTCCCTTCCACACCCTCTCATCCCATCCTTTCCAAGGCAACCACCCAACTCATACGCACACAAAACACCCTTCCCTTACACCCTCTCATCCTCCTTTCTCACCAACACAAACCCTCTCATCCCATCCTTTCCCAAGGCAACCACCCAACTCATCGCACACAAACACCCTTCCCTTCCACACCCCTCTCTCCATCCTTTCCAAGGCAACCACCAACTCATACGCACACAAACACCCTTCCCTTCCACACCCCTCTCATCCCATCCTTTCCAAGGCAACCACCCAACTCATACGCACACAAACACCCTTCCTTCACCCTCTCTCCATCCCATCCTTTCTCACACCCCCAAACTTCATACCATCTTTCCCAAGGCAACACCCAACTCATACGCACACAAAACACCCTTCCCTTCCACACCCCTCTCATCCCATCCTTTCCCAAGGCAACCCACCCAATCATTAGCACACAAAACACCCTTCCTTCCACACCCCTCTCATCCCATCCTTTCCCAAGGCAACCACCCAACTCATACGCACACAAAACACCTTCCCTTCACACCCCTCTCATCCATCCTTTCTCACCAACATCCCAAACCCTCTCATCCCATCCTTTCCCAAGGCAACCACCCAACTCATACGCACACAAAACACCCTTCCCTTCCACACCCTCTCATCCATCTTTCCATCAACCACCCCTCTCAAATTTTTTAATATTGTTTATTTCATTACATACAATAAAATTTTAAAAACTCTATTTGTTCACAAGAAAATTTTTTCCCTTCATATGAAGAAACATTTTGTTCTCCATTTGATGCTGAGTCTAAATCTCGATTTTTGATTTTTCTTCTTTCCAAATTTCTTTTTTCCGTGTAGAATTTCGGTTGTTAACATAATGAAATTTAAAGTCATCTATTAAAATAATACATAAAAACCATTAATGATATGAAATAAAATTCAATAGTTTATTTATTTTTGAGAGACTCAGAAAATCATCACAAAATGGCGCCTCGAGAAGAATCTAGTAGTTCTTCTGAAAGCACCGAGAAGCCAAAGCAGATATCAGCGCCGGTCATAAAGCGTTCAAATCTCAATCTCAAATTGAACTTACTCTATGGCGGAGCGATTACAATAACTGTAATTTATTTTCTAGGATTTATCATATATCCATGGTATTCCATGAGAGAGAAATGGAAAGTAAAGTCTAATTACTTCATTTCCAAAAACATTCAACAGAAATCCATCGAAATAAAATCTATTACAGAGGCTTACTTCGCTAAAATCCAAAATGCAGTTATATTAATATCTCGGCTTGTCGTGAACACTAGAATGCTATCGTCGCCAATAGATAGATACACTTGTTTTATCAAATTATTCCACCATTTTCATTCGAGCATAAAACCATTTCCAGTATCAATATCAATACAAGAGGGAAACAAGCGGTATTATACCACAACGTGGAATTCCACAGAAAGAGATTTTAAATTTTATACTTTAGATAACATCAATGAAACGCATTCCACACTCATGCGATATGACTCATACACGTTCAGACGCAATCTCAACATCGAAATGGGCGAATCCGATGGAATTGTCGAAAATTCCAGGTATTTTAAAGAATGCGAAACAGTTAAGAAATGGACTTATGTTGATGAAGGGGAACAAAAATCGCTGATCTATTCAGCATGCATTCCCTCAGCAAACCAAGGCGAAAGCTTTCTAACACAAATAGAAATCAACTTAACCCATTTTAACCAATATTTTGCGACCTACGCCCTCATTAATAAAAGCAAATACACATTTCTCGACCAGTACAAACGAGTAGTTTTTGAGAGTACGAATGGAATGACACAACCAACGAAGGAAGATGCCATTCTTAACTATCCATTAATCGAAGAGCTCTCTGGTGACATATGGGGCCCTATATCCTCTCAACTCAATGTTTCTCAAGAGAATTTTAGTCTTCGGTCATTTCACTACCAAAACCACTTCTACTTCACAATTCTCATTCCTATTAAGATAGAATACGATCAGACGCATTACGTTATACTTTTATGCGATTTTTCAGAGATGATCGCCGATTCTCTCTGGGAAACCACAAAAGTATACTTTGTCTACCTTATGTTTGCTCTGTATCCAGTCTGATGTAGACTTTTTTTGGCTTTTTTACAGATGGCAAAACGGATTTTGGAATTTTTGTCTCTGAGCCTTATATCCTTGAGAAATTCTGTTAATAAAATGAAGGAACGATAAAATCGTTAATTTCATCACAAATCGATCAAATCTCAATGAAATTGTTCGCGCCAAAGTAGTAATATTAATTTTTTTGTAATCGATTCTGAAATGTTTAATTTGTGATGAGCTAAAATTTTCACTCTCTTTCAGAAGGCTGTCCATCTTTCTTGCGTTTTGATATACATTGATTTTGTATGTATTTGAAAATTCTGGGAATTTTTCGGCTATTTCCAGATTTTTTTCGAACGTTGGTTCATCCATTCTTTCTTGGCCCATTTCTGGCCGTATGCAAGATAGTTATTTTTGTATCTATATATCAATTTGTTCTGATACTCTCAAATTGCATAATCTTTCAAATTTTTTTCTGAAACGCCTCATTACATGAACTGCACACGCAATGAAGGAATAACTCTGGAAAAGAGTTGATTAATCGCATTTTCGATTTCTTGTGGCACAATCTGACATAAAATATTTTGGGTTTTACTTTTGCCCAGTTAAAAAAGAATGCCTTGAGACAGAATGTCAATATTTCTGAAGGTGTTTGGATTAAACTCGAAAAATTGAAACATTGGATGCATGTGTATTTGGAAATTTGGCTGATTATCAGTGTAAAACAAACATTTTAAAATTCAAGTAATGAAGAGTGTGGTAGAATTTCGACAAAGTGGAAACTTAACCTAATTTCCAACACATATTTATATATGTATATTTATGTATGTATATTTATATATGTATATTTATATATGTATAATTATATATTAATGTATATTTATTATATATGTATATTTATATATGTAAATCATTTTAATATATGTATATTATTATATATGTATTTTTATATTATGTATATTTATATATGTATATTTATATAATGTATATTTATATATGTATATTTATATATGTATAATTTATATATGTATATTTTATATATGTTATATTTATTATAATATGTATTTTATATTGTTATTTATATATGTATATTTATATATGTATTTTATATATTATATTTATATATGTAATATTTATATATATGTATATTTTATATATGTATATTTATTATGTATATTATATATGTATATTTATATATGTATATTTTATATGTTATATTTATATTATGTATATTTATATATGTATATTTATATATGTATATTTATATATGTAATATTATATACTTATATTTATATATGTAATATTTATATATGTATATTTATATATTTTATATTTATATATGTATATTTAATATATGGTATATTTATATATGTATATTTTATATTGTAATTTATATATGTATGTTTATATAATGTATATTATATATGTATTATTTATATATGTATATTTATATAATGTATATTTATATATGTATATTTATTATGTTATATTTATATTGTATATTTATATATGTATATTTATATAGTATATTTTATATGTATATTTATATATGTTTTATATATTTATATATGTTTTTATATATGTATATTTATATTGTATATTTATATATGTATATTTATATATTATATGTATTTATAGATATTTTAATATTGATATTATGTATATATTATGTATATTTATATATGTATATTTATAATATGTATATTTATATATGTATATTTATATATGTATATTTATATATTATATTATAATGTATATTTATATATGTATATTTAATATGTATATATATGTATATTTATATATGTATATTTATATTGGTATATTTATATATGTATATTTATATTGTATATTTATATATGTATATATTAATATATTATTATTATATGTATTTATATTGTATTATATAGTTGTATATTTATATAGTATATTATTATTATATATATATGTATATTTATATATGTATAATTGTATATTATGTATATTTATATTGTATATTTATTGTATATTTTATATATGTATATTTATATATGTATAATTTATATAATGTATATTTATATATTGTATATATTTATATATGTATATTTATATATGTATATATATGTTATATATTTATATATGTATATTTATATTGTATATTTATATATGTATATATTTGTATATTATATATGTATATTTATATATGTATATTTATATATGTATATTTATATATGTTATATAGTATATTTTATATTATATATATGTATATTTATATATGTATATTATTGTATATTTATATATGTATATTATAGTATATTTTATATATGTATATTTTATATGTAGTATTTATATATGTGGTAGTATTTATATGTGTATATTTATATATGTATATATTTATATATGTATATATTTATATATTATATATATATATGTATTGTTAATAAACAGAATTCATCAAGTGACAGCTCTCAATTTTTTGGACATTTGTAAATTCTAAATTGAATGAGAAAAATGAAATAATACTAAGCATAATACATATTCTAGATTTAATTATAATTAGGAAAAAGTTAGTTTTGAGAGTACTTTTCAATAGGCATATAGAATGAAATCTTCTGAAAAATAATATCACATAAACTCATATTATTTTCTAATATATAACTATTTTATATTAAAAAATCAAAATTTTCAATGGAAAAATTTCTTAAACGAAGGATAAACCAAAATTTACGAATATAATGAGTGGGAATATAATGTTTATCTATCATAAAAACCATATGAAATATCAATTTTTGCTTTTAACGCCCTAATTTTTGACGACAATTAGCAAAAAAATGTTAAATGTTAACACTCAGTCCATTTTGAATATGAAAAATAAAAATTGACTTTGATTAAATGTTTTTATTTTCATGCAATTCTTCTTGCGACCAAAGATTTGAATAAAAGTTCAAAAAATAGATAGCTTAAAAAATAATATACGGTAGTGTTTACTAATAGATGAATAGTATATAAATTCTATTAAAATGGATTTGATCCAAAAAAATATATAAAATTTGAATCATAAATAAAATCGTTTTTAAATTACTTCTTCATTTAAATTATAACAATTATTTTTGTTTTATATTTTTTTTGGATCAAATCCATTTTAATAGAATTTATATACTATTCATCTATTAGTAAACACTACCGTATAATTATTTTTTTTAAGCTATCTTATTTTTTGAAAATTTTATTCAAATCTTTGGTCGCAAGAAGAATTGCATGATAAATAAAAATTTAATCAAAGTCAATTTTATTTTTCATATTCAAATGGATGAGTGTTAACATTTAACATTTTTTGCTAATTGTCGTCAAAAATTAGGCGTAAAGCAAAAATTGTATTTTTTCATATGGTTTTATGATAGATAAACATTATATTCCCACTCATTATATTCGTAAATTTTGAGGTTTATCCTTCGCTTTTAAGATCATTGAATTTGATTTTTATATAAAATAGTTATATATTAGAAATAATATATAGTTTATGTGATATTATTTTTCAGAAGATTTTGTGTTCTTCTTCAAAATTTTATTTTTTTTATTAAAAAAGAATCTTTAACAAATATACATTTATTTAATTAATATTTAAAAACGTGCTCTATCAAAAGTTCCAAAAATTCAATATTTTAGCTTTTCTGAGGTGTCACTTTTGATGAATTTTCTGTTTAAACACATATATTTATATATGTATATATTTATATATGTATATATTATCTATGTATATATATGTATATATGTATATATTATATGTATATATTTATATGTAATTTTATAATATGTATATATTTATATTATGTATATATTTAAATATATGTATATATTTATATATGTATATATTTATATATGTATATTTTATATATGTATATATTTATTATGTATAGTATTATATATGTATATATTTATGATATGTATATTTATATATGTATATATTTATATATGTATATATTTATATATGTATATATTTATATATGTTATATTTAATATATGTATATATTTATATATGTAATATATTTATATATGTATATATTTATATATGTATATATTTTATATATGTATATATTTATATATGTATATATTTATATATGTATATATTTTAATATATGTATATATTTATATATGTATATATTTATATATGTATAAATATTTTATATATGTATATATTTATATATGTATATAATTTATATATGTATATATTTATATATGTAATATATTTTATATATGTATATATTTATATAGTATATTTATATATGTATATATATTTATATATATGTAATATATTTATATATGTATATATTTTATATATGTATATATTTATATATGTTATAATAATTTATATATGTATATATTATATATGTATATATTTATATATGTATAAATATTTATATATGTATATATTTTATATATGTATATTTATATATGTATATATTTTATATATGTATATATTTATATATGTATATATTTATATATGTATATATTTATATATGTAGTAATATTTATATATGTATATTATATATATGTATATATTTTATATTATGTTATTTATAATATGTATATATTTATATATGTATATATTTTATATATGTATATATTTATATATGTATATTATATATGTATTATATTTATATATGTTATTTATATATGTATAGTATTTATATATGTACTATATTTTTATATTTGTATAATATTTATATATGTATATATTTATATATGTATATTATTATATATGTAAATATTTATATATGTATATATTTATATATGTATATATTTATATATGTATATTATTTATATATGTATAATATTGTATATATGTAATATATTTATATATGTATATATTTATAATAATGTTATATTTATATATATGTATATATTATATATATTGTATATATTTTATATATGTATATATTATATATGTTATATATTTATAGTATTATATATTTATATATGTAATATTTTATATATGTATTTTATTATATGTATATATTTATATATGTAATATATTTATTTGTATT